TGAACATGGACAAAAGATGTCTTAAGGCAACACCCGTACAAATCCTTGTATTGCAGACCACGGGAGCTCAAGTAAGCTAGGAAATACTTCAGAAGGACACGTAAGCAAACACTACGACATATTAAAAAACATTTCTAAACCAATTTATCGGTATCTATTACCAATGTTTATTCCAAGCTAGGAACTGTGTACCGAAGCATGTGTGATGGTGAAGTTGAGGATGACGTCCCAGGCTGCGGGATCTACTGGTGGAGGAGACAGGAACTTGAGAAATAATGAGTACCAAAGTATGTCTAGCATTAGGAATAATTTTAGGAGAGAAGTAAATAATGAAAATGAATGTTATAAGAATGCACTTAGAAGTAAATGTATAACCTACTATGATAACATGAACGTAGATAAGTATGTTTATGGAGCAACTTGCAATGTGGCTGATGTTGTAGTGGCGAGGCTTAGGCTTGGTTACAAGTACTTCTGGCAGTTTGGGAGACACACAGATGATGATTAAACTAAATGCAAATTATGTGGTCAGGTATATGGTCACTGTCTTGAACACTATGTGCTTAATTGTCCACTTATTGAAGAATACAGAGACAGACAGTATAATAACCTATGTAACATGTCAAGATATCTTATTAATGAAAATAAGATACCAGATATACTAAGCAAATTTCCTAAATTTGCCTCTATCAGATAAGTGAACTGTAGATATGTAGATATAAATCCATTTATATCTACCATTTTGGGGCCTAGTTCCTAGGCCTTTTGTGTATCCATATGGTCTTGCGCTGCCCTCCACAGGATGGATATGGGGTGCACAATAAACTAGCCACTTCGATAGCAAAATCTAATCGAAGCAGGCTTACTGGCTCAATCTAGGCGGGCCCTCAGATCCAATTCTTCCTTACTCATAACTAGTGAATCGTGTGTGTTCACGTCATAGTGTTCACGTCAAGGTGTTCAGGTCATGGTGTTCACGTCATAGTGTTCACGTCATGGTGTTCACGTTATGGTGTTCACGTTATGGTGTTCACGTTATGGTGTTTACGTTATAGTGTTCACGTTATGGTGTTCACGTCATGGTATTCGCGTCATGGTGTTCACGTCATGGCGTTCGCGTTATGGTGTTCACGTCACGGTGTTCACGTCACGGTGTTCACGTCATGGTATTCACGTCACGGTGTTCACGTCACGGTGTTCACGTCACGGTGTTCACGTCATGGTATTCACGTCACGGTGTTCACGTCACGGTGTTCACGTCACGGTGTTCACGTCACGGTGTTCACGTCACGGTGTTCACATCATGGTGTTCACGTCAGTGTTCACGTCATGGTGTTCATAACTCATTGTCAATCTTTTTTTTTTTTTTGACTACCACCCAGGGGATGGCTACGCTTCGCACAATCATTTATCAAACACATACAATAATTTTCTCCCACGGAAGTACTCTGAGACTTAGTTCTCATACTTCTTATGTTAGTTTTTATTGAGACTTTGGGTACATAATATAGTTTTTCACAATGGTCTTTAGGGAATACAGATGTTAAGCGTACATAAAAGACCCAAATAACTCAATGTGACTTATTTCCATTTGGGTCCTTGATTATTAAGACACATGTGCCATACCTGGGTATCTTTATTAATCTTGGTATCTGTATTACTCTAGTTATCTTTTTTTTAAGCTGTTACGAAGATATGATGACGAAGGGTTTAGCAGTAGAGCCATTGGAAGAATGTAGAAATGCAGTTGTAGACGTGATGATGCCTACAACTGTAGGTACCAGTGTATTGTACATTTCGGTATTATATACCTTGCAAATGATTCTCGTCTGATACAGCAACATCAAGGAATCTTGGTGCAAAAGATATCTTTGACGATTCTATTACTAACTTCTGGTCTGCCTTATGTCCAGTGGGTCCCACTCATCCGTGGCTAAATCTATTACTGATGTAACTTTTCCTCTTCCACGGTCTCCACTATAATAAATCTCCATCAAATCACTATATTAGTCGAAAATACTAATGTATTTCCACACGTTTTAAGACTACGTAGATATTGTACTTGTGCCTTATTCATCAATTCGTCTGTATTATATACATTTAAATGATACTGGGGTACTTGAAAAAATACATCCACTCATAAATGGCCTCTGGAGGTGCCGGGGATCGAACCCGGGGCCTCTTACATGCAAAGCAAGCGCTCTACCACTGAGCTACACCCCCTGTACGTTTTACTGTGTGTATAATTAATCAGTTAAATCATTTCACAAATAATCCTCACTTTAGAAATTAAATTTCAGAGCAGAGAAATCTTATTGGACCATTGTCAAGTCACTTATAGTGGTCCTGGGTGGACCGATGCATCATCTAAAGTTTGCCCTCCAAAATATTGACTGCTAGCGGCTTCGGTCAGTATCCAGTTCACGACGGTCGGGTTCATACAGCTTTTCAAGCTGTTGCAAAGCTTAAATTCAACAATTGCAACAACATAGCAGTTTATACGGGTTCTTCACTGGCCTTGGTGGAGTGTGAACCTCTCGTTTTACCCCCTGCCTTTCACAAGTGTTGAATATTAAATAGTAAGTTACTACCAGGATCCCGATGGAAATAAGTTACTTTGACTTTTTTGGGTTATCCGAGGCAATCTACATATATGCTGCTATGTATAATAATTTATGTAACTGTATTTACATGTACCTGAATAAACTTACTTGCTTACCTGTACCCGAGTAAACTTAATTACTTACTTACCTGACCTTGAATAAACTTACTCAGGGTTGAACAGAGGCCTGTTGTTGTTTACTCAAGTTAGGGGACATGAATTAGTAATCACCTATATGTGATTGCAAGGGTCGAATCTCAGCTCATGGGCCCGCCCCTAAGCACGTTTATTTAGGTACAGGTACACATAAGTACAATGATCATACTTAGTAACAGACGTAGTTAGTTAAAGTTAAAGGAACCCAATGGACATGAGTCACTCTGTCTGACTTTTTTTTGGGGGGAAATAAGTCACTGTCTGACTTTTTTTGAAAATAAGTCACTCTGACTTTTTTTTTTAAATAAGTCACTCTGTCTGACTTTTTTTGGAAATAAGTCACTCTGACTTTTTTTTGGAAATAAGTCCCTCTCTCTGACATTTTTTGGAAATAAGTCACTCTGACTTTTTTTTTTTTTTTTTTTTTTTTTTTTTTTTTTTTTTTTTTTTTAGGAAATAAGTCACTCTGTCTGGCTTTTTTTGGGTTATCCCAGGTTCTCTACACATATGCTGCTATGTATGATAATCTATGTAACTGTATTTGTGTATACCTGAATAAACTTACTCATTTTCATAGGAGTCATCTTGCTGGCCGCTACCCCTCAAGGAAGGTTCCTTGATGTTGGTGAGGGGCTCTTGATTTAGGGAATTGGATCTGTGCTCCACTTCCCCGAATTAAGCCTGAATACCTTCCACATCCCCCCCCCCAGGCGCTGTATAATCCTCCGGGTTTAGCGCTTCCCCCTTGATTATAATAATAAAATAATGCTGGCCGCTACTGGGTTTACTTTATCTTGGCTGGAAATAAGTCACTTTGATATTTTTCTTTTTTTTTGGATAATCTAAGGCAATCTGCACATATATATTATTATATAAGGCAATTGCAATAATCCAAAAATTGTAATTGTATCAAAATTTACTTTTTTAAAGCTCCTTATAGAACCTGACTCTACTACTACACTATCCAGGTCGTTGCACTTCCTAACCACTCTCAGGCTGAAGAACTGCTTCCTAACATCCCTCTTACTCATCTGTCTTTTCAACTTCCAGCTCTCCCCGTTTCTGCTACCTGAGGAAACTTTGTTTCTGTTATAATTCCCTCTCAGATTTGGGCAAATTATTTCGTATCCCAGGGACCCTAGTGGAAATACGTCACGTCGTCTAACTTTTTTGGGGATTATCCTAGGTAACTTACACACATACTAATATATATGACAATTGTGGTCACCTAGATATGTCTAACTGTGCTTATATGTACCTGTATCTAAATTGGCTTTCTTATCTTATCTTTTTTACTTATCATTTTTTAGAACTACTGTTTCCTCGCTTCACTCCACTTTTTGCCTCTTGTGGCACTACTACTACTCCCCCTACTGCTACTACTACTACTTCTTCCACTACCAGCATTACATCTACCACTACTCGGGTTCAATTCCCAGCAAGGGCAGAAACATTGGGCGTGTTTCTTAACACTGGTTGTCTATGTTTCCCATCAGTAAAATGGGTACCTGGGTGTTAGTCGATTGGTGTGGGTCGCATCCTGGGACAAAACTGACCGAATTGTCCGAAATGCTCAGCATAACAAGCGGCTTTCTATATAGTAGTATGTCATTGATGTCAGCTAGTCCCGCATATCTTGTGCATGTACTTGTGGAAATAAAGATATTATTATTATTATTATTATTATTATTATTATTATTATTATTATTACCTTTACTTCCTCCTTTCTTTGTCCCCTCCCTACCCTCCTCTCGTATATGTGCCGGCTCCCTTACCTTCGTATGTTAATGTGTGACTAGTTAATGCTCCAAGTCGAACCGAAACATCCTCATAAGTTTCTTTTTCCTATGTGCAGGGTATTTGTGTGTTGTTCCAGCCAGGGTATTGTGCCATTTTGTTCTTTCTTGACTTTACTTACACTGGGCTATATAGTAGTAAGTCAGTGATGTCGGCTAGGACTGTATACATTGTACATGTACTAGTAATTACGTACTTACTTTCTTACTCACTCATTCCATCCCCTCAGGGAAGGTTCCTTGATGTTGGTGAGGGGCTCTTGATTTAGGGAATTGGATCTGTGCTCCAGTTCTCCGAATTAAGCCTGAATGCCTTCCACATCCCCCCCAAGGCGCTGTATAATCCTACGGGTTTAGCGCTTCCCCTTGATTATAATAATAATAATAATAATCACTCATTCCAGCCTCCCGACAAGAAGGGTTCAATAAGATGAGAGTTTTGGAGACCCTTAACAACCCTAACAACAAAAACAAAACTGTTTTCCCTGGAACTCTCCCTTCATTTTCAAACAGTTAACAAGGACTTGATGTTGGTGACTAGTTGTAGTTGCTAGAGGTGAAAGCTAGCGAGCTAAAATAAGGCTGGGGGTAAAGGAGGGGGTATTGTGGGGTGGTAGAGGGTTATTGATTTGTATGTGACTCATGTATGACTGGAAATAAAATCGATTGTTGGTAGATTGCGAGGTGATAGTGGTTGTTGTGGTGGTACGATGTGTGGTAGTAGTGGTTGTGATAGTGCAAGGTGTGGTGATAGTGGTTGTTGTGGTGGTGCGATGTGTGGTAGATAGTGGTTGTGATAGTGCAAGGTGTGGTGATAGTGGTTGTTGTGGTGGTGCGATGTGGGTAGTAGTGGTTGTGATAGTGCAAGGTGTGGTGATAGTGGTTGTTGGTGTGCAGTGTGTGATAGTAGTGGTTGTGATAGTGCAAGGTTGGTGATAGTGGTTGTTGTGGTAGTGCAAGGTGTGGTGATAGTGGTTGTTGTGTAGCGAGTGTGGGTGATAGTGGTTGTGTGGTGTGCAGTGTGGTGATAGTGGTTGTTGTGGTAGTGCAAGGTGTGGTGATAGTGGTTTTGTGGTAGTGCAAGGTGTGGTGATAGTGGTTGTTGTGGTAGTGCAAAGTGTGGTGATAGTGGTTGTTGTGGTAGTGTAAGGTGTGGTGATAGTGGTTGTTGTGGTGGTGCAATGTGTGGTAGTAGTGGTTGTTGTGGTAGTGCAAGGTGTGGTGATAGTGGTTGTTGTGTGGTGCGATGTGTGGTAGTAGTGGTTGTGATAGTGCAAAGTGTGGTGATAGTGGCTGTTGTGGTAGTGCAAGGTGTGGTAATAGTAGTTACTGTGCAACCAGTCCTTTACAGACTAAATGCTTTTTTATTCTCTCTACAATTTCAGGGTAACTTGCACTACTGTATCGCTGTATGACCCTTGTGGGTTTAGCGCTTATAGTTGTAGTAATATTAAATAATGCACTTTCTGTATGGCTTCCAAGGTGGCTGCTTTTTTTTTGACGATGAACACTCTTTGTGTGACAAATATTTTATATATATGACATTCATCTTTTTGCATAATTCTTTTTTCTCTGATGTCCATATATCTCGGTTATACAGAACTGTATTACCTGAATACATTTAGCCCATTTCCATGGATGAATAATAATTCAGTGATTGCATTTGCTTGCAGTAAGACTTAATCAAGTGTAAATTGCTAATATAGTTTCTTTGTTTATACTTATCATTACCACACTCGGGTTTTTATAGTAAAGACTTTAAGGTTGTAGAGAAAATTTTTCTCCAACCCCCAGGGATATGGACGTCCTCAGAGGCAGTGACCCCATGAAGGTGTTAAGATCCCTCTCACTACTTTCCCATATTCTGAGGATGAAAGGGGTCGTGACCTGTATACTTTGCACTAGCAGAGATCAAGAAGGTCTTATGCATTACTACACAACTTCAATTAGCACATTCCAGAATGGCCATTCATCTTAACATGTGTGTCTGCTCCAGCAAAATCAGACACCCTCTAATGGGATTACAAATTCATAACTGATAAAAGGTGACACATGAGAGAGAGACGTTTTCAGCAGAATTTATACTCTACGGGAGTATAAATAAGCAAAGGTTTGTCTGAGAAAATGGCGATTTCCCAAGACTGGGAAAAAATCCAAAAATATATGCCTGGGAACTGATAATATACCAAGGGGCATTATTTTCATAAACCTGCATCTCAGACTGAAGGAATCAGTCTGCAGGTGATCAAGAGCTGGCACTCTTGGTCACCTGAAGTATACCTGGTGGGTGATTTGGGGGTCAGTGCCCCTGAAGCCTTGTCCATGACTAGATCTCACAATGGATCAGGACCTATTCACCCTGGTTGTTACTGCTGGCCACCCACAAATCAAAGTATGAGCCACAGCCCAGCTGGCCAGGTACTGACTAGGTGCTTGTCCAGGTTCCTCTTGAAGGCAGCCAGGGGGTCTAATGGTAATCCTTATGTATACTGGGAGGCAGTTGAGCAATCTTGAGCCCCTGGCACTTATTGTGTTGTCTCTTAGTGTACTCATGGTGCCCCCTCTTAGAATTAATATGATACTGTATTATGTGACATTGCATTTCTGTGGTATTGTATTATGTGATATTGTATTTCTGTGATATTGTATTTCTTTGATATTGTATTACTGTGATGTTGTATTACTGTGATATTGTATTACTGTGATATTGTATTACTGTGATATTGTATTACTGTAATATTGTATTAATAGTTTTGTACTCTTTTCTTTTGTAGAAATAATCAATAACAGAGTTGACTGTCATGGCAAGTGATTACACAGACTTAAAGGCACCATTACCAAATTCTAGGAATTTGCCATCAGATTGTACTGTAAGTTTAAAATCCATAGAAAATATTTTGGTTATGTCGCACTAGGTTTCTGGTTTACCACATTAAAAGCTTTTTTTTTGTTTAAACTTGTATATCAGTTTAATTACATTAACTGTGGTGTTCTTTTCTTGCTTTGAGGAAATGTTCACTTTTTTGATGCAAGGAATTTCTTAACATGAATAAAATTGGATGATGTTCTGATTATTTTAATATGCTGGGACTATTTTCATGTGACATGCATAACAAAAATGAAATCTTATAAATATTTTGAAGTTTGTACATACAGTAATTCTATAACCCAAAAGGAGCGAGATCAAGACAGTGAGAGCATGTATAGCAGTGTATCAGAGTGCCGCAGCAGTGTATCAGAGTGCCGTAGCAGTGTATCAGAGTGCCGCAGCAGTGTATCAGAGTGTCATAGCAGTGCAGAAAGTGATGCTTCGTCATCACTAAATTCAGCCTCTCATGATATACCCACAGTTCGAACCAAACCTGGTGAGATTCCCTCAACCTTTATATATTTCGTAACGAATGAATGGCATTATGGGTTGTGTTTTGTATTTAAATATTTTAATTTCATAGCTTTTGTCTTTAGTATTGGAAGGTTACTCATCATAAGTTGCAGGATTTATTAAACCAACATCTTTTTAAAAATTCAAATTTCCACAAAATACATTGGTTACAATATTTGTACAGAAAATTTAAAATTATCCAGATACACTTCAGACACATACAAAAATATAAAAATAGAGAAATATTAGTTGCATATTAAAAAACTTCTCCTTATTTGACACTTCTCCACTATGTGATCAGCATACCATGCCACTAGCCAGTCTTACATCGGTGATATTTTCTTGCCAGCAGGGCCTCATGCATTGCCTGTAAGTGATAATAGATGATGTTATGGCTGTGAATATTTTAAAAATTCCTTCAATGTAGAGGTGCCTTTCCAAAATAACCTACATCTACAATTTTTGTGACAGTGGAAGAAATCTTGAGAAAGATGCAAATCTTTAGAAAAATAATAAAATAACAAGAAAACAAAAGCTAATAAAATAATAAGACAACAAAAAATAATAATATAACAAGATAGGATTTGATCAAGTGCAGTAAGTAGAGTATTCTTATACAGTATAATTAGATCTAGTGGAATTGCCATTTATGACATAGGTTATATTTCAGATAATGCTTTGTTAAATAGTACTCACTGATATCTGTAAAATCTGAAATAAGTAGTAGAAGAAATTGAGGTCATATGGGAAGAAATTAGGAACAAAGATAGTCAGGTTATTTGGGATATAATGAACAGCTTAGGGTCAAAGTACATCCTCTGTGGCCTGGCTTGTTTCCCTGTAGAGTGTACTCATCAGTAGTTCAATAACTGATGGTGCATCACTTAAAAAGAATAAAGGTGATATTTTCACTTTAAATTGTTGTCAGCTATCTGTGCATTTGTCTCTACCTACCTATTCTTTCTTATTCTTTCTCTACTTACCTATTCTTATATGTTCTTTTATAATATATATTTTTGTTTTTCAAAATACACAGATGGAGGGGACAATGAAATTGAGAGACTAATAAGTGCTGCAGAAACCCTAGCTATAGAGAGAGCAAAACTCAATATAAGAAGCTTTATTCCAGCGACTGATGCAATAAACCATCGACCAGCTCCTGTGGTGGGAGATAAATCTTTGAGTCTGTCCAGTAGATTGTTTCAAAAACAGCCACAGAAGCTGTATAAATATTTAGAGAATAAAGACCTATGTGAAGTTGTGATACCAGTGCAAAATAATACTGGGATTACTAACTCAGTTCCTGTTAATAATGGTGATGATATTTTGCATTATTCAGGAATGATCCCAAATAAAAATGCTGATTCAAAAGAACTTTCTAAATCTACTGTCTCAGAAGACAGACCAAAAAATTTAAATAACCTAGGTCTTTCAGAAGGTAAAGGTTATTCCATTCCTGAAGATAATGGAAATTTTGAAAACAGCAGTTCTAGCAGTATTCCAAGACTACAGTTGGAACTTTCTGCTTCTCCAAATAATATCAGTGATATAAAAGATGAGAAAAATGCAGTGAGCAAAGATGTGAAGGATGTGTGCAACTCCACCATCCGAGAATCTTCTGTAGACGGTTATGAGACCCTTACTGTGCCACTAATAAAGAATTGCAGAGAGCTTGGTAACTCCAGGCAAAGTTCCTTGCAGACTAGGTAATTATCATATTTTTTGTGCATGATTTTATTAGGTTAGGGATTTTTATTTTTTATAATTCTGTCGCAATACCTATTGAATGAGTAATGGTGAAAGTATTTCCTTGTAAATGCAGTTTAAAAGGGCCTTGAGGAGCATAATGCATAGGCATATCAGCAGTCATTCTCAATCTGTTAGGATTTATGGCTATACTTGATCCTTAACCTAAAGAAGGGAATGTATAAGAGTGTAGTGCTACCAACGCTCTTATATGGGTGTGAAGCATGGGTGGTGAATGTTGCAACAAAGAGAAGCCTGGAGGCAGAGGAGATGTCATGTCTGAGGGCAATGTGTGATGTGAATATTATACAGAGAATCTGTAGCTTGGAAATTAGAAGGTGTGGGGTTTCTAAAAGTATTATCCAGAGGGCTGAGGAAGGGTTGTTGAGGTGGTTCTGATATTTAGAGAGGACTTGAAGGTCATATAAATCTGTAGTGGAAGGAAGGTGGGGTAGGGGTCATCCTGGGAAAAGTTGGAGGGAGGGGTAAAGGAGGTGTTGTGTGTTCGAGGGGCTTAGACTTCCAGGGAGCGTGCATGAGCGTGTTGGATAGGAGAGAGTAGAGACAAATGGTTTATATGACTTGACGTGCTGTTGGAGTGAGCCCTGGAGGTGGGAGGTACAGTGACTGCACTCTGAAGGAGGGGTGGAGATATGTTGCAGTTTTTGAACTATATTATAGGCATACCTCTGGCAAGATAGTGATGGAGTGAATGGTGTTGAAAGTGTTTCTTCTTTTTCAGGTTGCCCTGTCTCGGTGGGAAATGGAATATGTGTTAATAAAAAAAATCTAATACATGAATTACATGTAGGCCTATTAATGAACAATTATTATGAGTCACTTTTATATGATATGCACCAGATTTCTGAAGATAGATAATTCCTTAGTTCTTAGCATTAGTCCAGTAATAGCAGTCTCTGATTTACTCTGATACTGTATGTGAAAAGTAATTATTGAAAGCTTTAATCTAATCTCAAGGCATCACTGTTCATTGCTGGGAGGTTTTAGAAAGTGTGGTGCTTATATAATTTCTGTGTCAAAAGGCTCATGAGTTTAATATTGTATGGTACTGCAAGGGACAGTAAACCTTGTAGGATATTGCAAAATTAGTACAGTATTTGCTGTGAAGTGCTGATTGATATATTGCTTTATAGTACATATTGAAGTGTACCTAAAAGCGAAGTTGTGTTATACTGCAAGCTATATTATTTTATATTTATGTATCTACCGTATTTATTAATGAATAAATTTATATGAAATTATTGGAATATCTGATGTCGCATGTTATGTATTTACTTAAAGTAAAATAGTGTACATGTATATATGGTATTGTACTCAGTTTTTAATTACTTCTATTCGTGCAATACAGCCTCTTTACTTAGCGATTACTTGTTTACGAATCGCTTCGACTTACGGCCAGCTCTCTGACCATATGCAGACCTAAATAATGTTATTAGAAACTGATTTTCCTCTATTCTTTTATTATAAATAACATACACTACTGTTTTTAAATATTTTTAAAAAAAAATATGGCTAACAATGTTATAAATGGTGCATGGGTAACATTAAAATAATATCTAAAGATGGTTGACACAAACCCACTAAACCCGTATAGCATGCTCCTCGCTTAATGACCAATTCATTTTCCGACCTACCCCTTTGAACTGGAACACTGTCATTAAGTGACGAGAGACTGTAATTGTGTTAGCACTGAGTTTCATACTCTCTTATTGTTACATCCAAATGAAAAAGATTTAATTTTCATTTTTTTTCCTACATCCTCTGAAGCCGATGACATATTTGGATTTTTATCCCAAAAAATTTTTCACAATAGAAAGAAAGCTGGGGAAAAAAAAAACATTATATTTTGTTTTATGGGCTTTCATTGTTATTTTTTGCTTAGATAGTTTCTTAGCTGCCAACCCCGGCCTTTGTGGGGAAATAAACGCTGAATGTAACTTTAAAAAAAATTTAAAGCATTTTTTTACAGAGGATACTGTTAAAATTTGCATTTGGGGGGTTTTTTTTTTTTTTTTTTAAAATATTACCACTACTAGGAACATTTCTTGTGTATTACCAAAAAGTTTATCCAGTTCACAAGCTAAATTTTTCAGCAGAAAATTGAGTCCAAGGAATTTTTTTTTTACAATAATTTTTTTTCAGGGGGGTATATAAAATTTTTGTGAATTAAGATGCATATGTACACTAGTATGTTTGGGCATGCGACAAAACTTAAGATTTATTGACAGTTTCTCCATTGGTCACAAAGACTAAAAAATAGCCCTAAAAAAAAAAATAAAAAAAAAAAGTGACCCCACCTAACCAAATTTAATTGGTCCCCCCAAACAATACAAGGCAGTTTTTCGTAGCCAACAAAAATGTTACTTTAAAAGTAACAAAAAGGAAAACTTAGCGGCTTTTAGGGGAGGGGCCCCGAAGTTGCCCCCCCCAAAAAACAAGGTACTTAACACGTAAATTAAAAAATAATACAGTGGGGACCGCCAAGTTTCGTGCAAAATTCGTTCGGAAGGCCTCGAGTGCATTGCCGAAAGAATTTTTTTTCCCATAAGGAATAATGAAATTTAATAGCCATTTTAGACCCCCAAAAAAACACTTTCAAAAACAATTACAAAAATACACTTAGATAATTTTTTTGAGTTGGGGGCTGTATGAAACTCGGGATGGCACTTTTCATGCACACAGTTTTATAGTAATACATATTTAAAATTTAACATTAAAATAAAGGGTTTAAAAAACCAGTTTTTCCCCAGGGGGTTTTGCCATTATAAAGCTTTCTCAAAAAGCTCCCCTATGATGCATGGTAAAGGTAGAAAATTTAAAGTGAACAAAAAAGAGAAGGTATGAAGGTATCAAATGATTTTGAAAAGAAAAATTTGGGTATCAAATTGGGGGAGGGAAAAAATATGGAAGAAATGAATGTTTTCAGTATTTGGGAGTTTACATGTCAACGATGATTTATAAGGGTGAGGGTTTAATCATAGAATTGATGAAGGAAAAAAGGTGAGGGGTGCAATGAGGTATATATTGAGACAAAAAACATTATTTTATGGAGGCAAAGAAGGGAATGTATGAAAGTATAGTAGTACCAACACTCTTATATGGGTGTGAAGCTTGGATTGTACGTATATGCTGCAGTGAGGAGGCGGTGGAAAATGCCCTGTCTAAGGGCAATGTGGGGTGTAAATATTATGCAGAAAATTCGGAGTGTGAAAATTAGGAGAAGGTGTGGAGCTAATAAAAGTATTAGTCAGAGGGCTGAAGAGGGTTGTTGAGGTGGTTTGGTCATTTTAAGAGAGTGGATCAAAGTAAATGACATGGAGAGTATATAAATCTGTAGGGAAGGAAGGCGGGGTGGGGGGTTATCCTAAAAAAGGGTTTTGGAGGGGGGGGGTAAAGGAGGTTATGTGGGCGGGGGGCTTGGACTTCCAGAAACCCTTGCGTGAGCGCGTTAGATAGGAGTGAATGGAGACGAATGGTATTTGGGCCCTGACGAGCTGTTGGAGTGTGAGCAGGGTAAAAATTTAGTGAAAGGATTCAGGGAAACCCAGTTATTTATATATAGCCAGACTTGAGTACTGAAAATGGGAATACAATGCCTGCACTTTAAAGGAGGGGTTTGGGATATTGGCAGTTTGGAGGGATATGTTGTGTATCTTTATACGAAATATGCTTCTAAACTGTTGGTTCTGTGCACCTCTCCCAAAAACATTGATTATGTATGATGAGGTGAAAGTGTTGAATGAGATGAAGTATTTTCTTTTTGGGGATTTTCTTTCTTTTTGGGTCACCCTGCCTCGTGGAGACCGCCAACTTGTTAAAAAAAAAAAAATAGAAAAATTCATTCAAAACTGAATGTGTACAAAAAAAAAAACTGCTCTATATAGAGGAACTTTATAAGAGAGTTGACTGTATCTAGAAAGAATAGTATATCGAGAGTTTTTTCCCTACTGATTTTTAAATAATAATTCATTATTGTTTCTCTTTATTTTTTTTAGTACTCTTTGAATATTTTTTACAAATCATTATCTCAGAAACAAGTTTAAATTTTTTCATGCAGATCTTTAGATTTTGGGTTTTATTTTCAGGCAAATACAGTGATACCTCGAGTTACGAACTTAATTCATTCCAGAAGGCTGTTCGAGTACTGATACAAAATGAATTTTTTCCCATAAGGAACAATGTAAATTAGATTAGTCCATTTCAGATCCCCAAAAATACCCTTACAAAAGCACTTAAATAAATACACTTACATAATTGTTCGAGTCCGGAGCTGTTTGAAACTCGAGGTAACACTGTAGTACTTGTAATACAATGTGGTTCATGCAGGTTTTAATTTGAGCTAAGGGTGCCATTTTCAATTTAATTAGATGGGTGGATAACTATCGCCATTATGTGTATTATAATATAGTTGGGACCCGCTTTACAGTGTTTCGCCTTACGGCATTCTGCTAATATGGACATTTCAAATTATGACCCAAACTCTCTATACGGCTTCCCTCACCTGACTTTTTATTGTGGTCACTGCACCTCACCTGGTTTGTTTACATTTTCCGTGAGCTCCGTAAACTCTGTCTCTCTCCATTATGTCTGGAAACTTTCCAAAATTTCAAGTGTTTTAAAGTTATTTCATGTTTTATATATATGTACTGTAATAATTATACTTATGTGTACCTGTACCTAAATAAACTTACACAGTGTGCTGGCATGCAGGCCCTCATTAAAATCACTAAGAGTGTCTTATTAATCTTGAGGACACCATATTAATAATAATAATAATAATAATAGTAGTAATAATAATAATAATGCACAATTCCTAGGTAGTAGGTTGGTAGACAGCAACCGCCCAGGGAGGTACTACCGTTCTGCCAAGTGAGTGTAAAACGAAAGCCTGTAATTGTTTTACATGATGGTAGGATTGCTGGTGTCCTTTTCTCTGTCTCATAAACATGCAAGATTTCAGGTACGTCTTTCTACTTCTACTTACACTTAGGTCACACTACACATACATGTACAAGCATATATATACACTCCTCTGGGTTTTCTGCTGTTCTCTTTCTAGTTCTTGTTCTTGTTTATTTCCTCTTATCTCCATGGGGAAGTGAAACATAATTCTTCCTCCGTAAGCCATGCGTGTTGTAAGAGGCGACTAAAATGCTGGGAGCAAGGGGCTAGGTAACCCCTTCTCCTGTATATATTACTAAATGTAAAAGGAAAAACTTTTGTTTTTCCTTTTGGGCTACCCCGCCTCGGTGGGATACGGCCGGTGTGTTGAAAGAAAGAATAATACACAATAATAATCACTCTGAGGTGCATTAAATGTCGTATATATTACGTTAATATAAACATTTTCATTAATCTATCTATGATATTTTTTCAAAATTATATAATAAACATGCTATGTGACATACAAACATGATAAATACACCCATAGTAGAATAAATTAACATAAATATGAGATGTTACGTGTATGAACCAAAACCAGACGCGTTTGTCTGTTTGTTTACATAATTCCGCTTCTCTCTCCTTTCTCATTTACTTGTTCTCTCTCTCTCTCTCATTTATTCGTTTTACCTCGTTTACTACAAATACATGTATTTTAACCCTTTCGGGGTTTCGGCCGTACTAGTACGGCTTACACGCCAGGGTTTTTGACGTACTAGTACGCATAAATTCTAGTGCCCTCAAATCTAGCGAGAGAAAGCTGGTAGGCCTACATATGAAAGAATGGGTCTATGTGGTCAGTGTGCGCAGTATAAAAAAAATCCTCCAGCACAGTGCGTAATGAGAAAGAAAAAACTTTGACCGTGTTTTTGGTTTAAAACAGCGACTTTGCACTGTATTTTCGTATGGTATTTATGGTTGTTTTCTAGTTTTCCTGGTCTTATTTTATAGAATGGAAGACATATTATAGAAATTGAGATGATTTTGATTGGTTTCACAATGAAAAGTGCCTTGAAATTGAGCTCAAAGTAGCAGAAATGTTCGATTTTTGCCGAAGTTCAAAAGCAAACAAATCCTGCCACGCGTCCAATACACGTCAACTGGTGAATCTAATATTCTTTCACAAGTGCGCTGGTATTATTTATACCATTTCTACACTAATACAGTAGTCTGCATAACAGTAAATCTTCTATATTTTGTGAGAATAAAATTTCAAAGTGGAAAGCAAAAGAAATGTAAGAGGGGCGTGGGGATGTGACTAATGAACAAAGGAAATGTTATTTTAGTGCCAGGAATGTCTTTCTTGTTTATTCTGGACCCTATTTGGAAATTGGCATCTTTTGAAATTTGTGTGAAATTGGCAAAATTGCTAAATTCTGACCACTTTATAGGATAGTTGAAATCGGTAAATGGATGGTTTCTTGTGTTCATTCGATAGAAAAAACGGAGTTCTAGCGAAATAGTTATGATTTTTATCGACTAGTACACTGGAATTGGCCGAAAATAGGGCTCAAAGTGGGCAAAATCGCCAATGCGTAAACATCGTCAAGACTGCTAACTTCGCAAGAGCATAATTCTGTAAGTTTTCCATCAAATTTCATACTTTTGGTGCATTATGATTGGGAAAAGATTCTCTATCTTTTCATTAGAAAAAATAATTTTTTTTTTTTTTTTAAATTTTGGCGACCCTGAGAACAAGTCTCTGAGAGGGCCTGGTGACCCTCAAAGGGTTAAGGTAAGTAATGAATGTACTGTATATGGATTTTATCACTCTAGAGTGCTTTAAATGTCGTAGTTCATTATGTGTGGGTGGGGTGGCCTGGCCTGGCTGGCTACCATACCTCCCACACCTGACTTCCTACAAATAAATACTACTCACCTCTCACCCTACATTAAGACTACAAATGTTTTAAGGTAAGTAACGAGTGTACTGTGTGTACATTTTACTTTTTATTGTTTTTAATGCCTAGTTCTATTGCTAACTTAATATATGATAGTGTAAACTTGTTTCTGGCATTTAGTATATGCATTTATAAGTGCAAAAAATGACATTCTGGTTTCCAGCAATGTCTGCTTTCTGGTGGCAACCTGGAACCTAACCTGCCATATAAGTGGGGCCCTACTGTATGCATAAATTATAGTAGGATATTGTACAGTATTATTGTATTATTACTGAGTCAGACAAATATTATTGACAACACTGCATACTATTTATGTTTGGCTTCATTTACAGTATTACATGTATAGTGGTATCTCAAATTACGAACTTAATTTGTTCCAGAATGCTGTTTGAGTGATGATACCGAACAAATTTGTTCCCATACGGAATGACCTAAATTAGATTAGTCCATTTCAGACCCCCAAAAAATACACTTACAAAAGTACACTTACGTATTGCTCGAGTTGGGAGCTGTTTGAAACTCGAGGTATCACTGTACATTTATTAACTTTTTTATTAAAAACCATACTATAATAAAATTACTCAAAGTAATTTTTACCAAAATATTGTATGTTGGAGCTTAAGATATAATATCAGACTAAAACTATGCTGTTTGCTGAATGGAAATTCTCATACAAATTTGATATTCTGAAACTGATTTTTCCCTCTTTCAGCAGCGAAGATTTGCGGGAAGTCTCACTGATGGTGCATGATGAGTGTAGTGGTCTACTGAGTCTGGCTCTTGCTGCTACCAGTAGCCTCAACTGTGTTATTAGGTACGAGAAGCACACTTTTCAAGTCATTAACACCTCAAATAAAAGTTATGTTTGGTATTCTTTAGTGCTAGTTGTCAACCTGTTTTGTCAAACTTAATTTTCAGAGAAAACATTAGCAGTAAATTGTCTCTCTTAGTAGTAGGGATGAACATAATAAACACATTCACTGTAAATCATTCAATTGCTGTCTTAGTAATAAAGGTAGACTGTTAGGTAAAAGGACACGGAATTACTGTGACATAACATTTCACTTTCCAGGAGCTTTGTCAAGCTTTTACTGGCTTGACAAAGCTCAGAGCAAAATGTTGCCACAATAAAATGTCACATGAGTTGCATTTGTGTCTTTTTACATAATTGCTCTCTTCCCAGAAGAGTGCCTGACACCACAGTTCAGATGACCATTTGAGCTGCAACACCCCCGTCCCTCCTTCAGAGTGCAGGCACTGTACTTCCCACCCCCAAGACTCAAACCTGACTAATGAGATCCCCTGAAATACTTCATAAAAGGGGATCTTTCTCTACTCTATCTGATCTATTGTAGTTGCTGTGCTGTTCCTTCATTTTCTTCCATTGCAAATTGCAGAGTCATAAACTTTGTTGTGTGGCCTGTCTTGCATTTTCCAATGACATCTTTTCACAAGTGATGGTGAAAGTGTTTCTTCTTCTTCAGGTCACCCTACCTTGGTGGGAGATGACTGGTGTGTTGAAAAATATATCATTCCATCCCTAACACACAAGTGCAAAATCTGTGCAGTTGTTTCAGGGCTTCAAGTTTAAATCATACCTTAGTGGTTATCAAACTTACAAAATTTTCTCCATTCATATGTATGGAGAAGTTAAATGTTTTGCAATTTATTTTTAATTATTTTTTTTATTATCACACTGGCCGATTCCCACCAAGGCAGGGTGGCCCGAAAAAGAAAAACTTTCACCATCATTCACTCCATCACTGTCTTGCCAGAAGGGTGCTTTACACTACAGTTTTTAAACTGCAACATTAACACCCCTCCTTCAGAGTGCAGGCACTGTACTTCCCATCCAGGACTCAAGTCCGGCCTGCCGGTTTCCCTGAACCCCTTCATAAATGTTACTTTGCTCACACTCCAACAGCACGTCAAGTATTAAAAACCATTTGTCTCCATTCACTCCTATCAAACACGCTCACGCATGCCTGCTGGAAGTCCAAGCCCCTCGCACACCAAACCTCCTTTACCCCCTCTCTCCAACCTTTCCTAGGCCGACCCCTACCCCGCCTTCCTTCCACTACAGACTGATACACTCTTGAAGTCATTCTGTTTCGCTCCATTCTCTCTACATGTCCGAACCACCTCAACCCTTCCTCAGCCCTCTGGACAACAGTTTTGGTAATCCCGCACCTCCTCCTAACTTCCAAACTACGAATTCTCTGCATTATATTCACACCACACATTGCCCTCAGACATGACATCTCCACTGCCTCCAGCCTTCTCCTCGCTGCAACATTCATCACCCATGCCTCACACCCATATAAGAGCGTTGGTAAAACTATACTCTCATACATTCCCCTCTTTGCCTCCAAGGACAAAGTTCTTTGTCTCCACAGACTCCTAAGTGCACCACTCACTCTTTTTCCCTCATCAATTCCTATGATTCACCTCATCTTTCATAGACCCATCCGCTGACACGTCCACTCCCCAAAAATCTGAATACATTCACCTCCTCCATACTCTCTCCCTCCAATCTGATATTCAATCTTTCATCACCTAATCTTTTTATCCTCATAACCTTACTCTTTCCTGTATTCACCTTTAATTTTCTTCTTTTGCACACCCTACCAAATTCATCCACCAATCTCTGCAACTTCTCTTCAGAATCTCCCAAGAGCACAGTGTCATCAGCAAAGAGCAGCTGTGACAACTCCCACTTTGTGTGTGATTCTTTATCTTTTAACTCCACGCCTCTTGCCAAGACCCTCGCATTTACTTCTCTTACAACCCCATTTATAAATATATTAAACAACCACGGTGACATCACACATCCTTGTCTAAGGCCTACTTTTACTGGGAAAAAATTTCCCTCTTTCCTACATACTCTAACTTGAGCCTCACATCCTCGTAAAAAACTCTTCACTGCTTTCAGTAACCTACCTCCTACACCATACACTTGCAAACATATGCCACATTGCCCACCCTATCCACCCTGTCATATGCCTTTTCCAAATCCATAAATGCCACAAAGACCTCTTTAGCCTTATCTAAATACTGTTCTTTTATATGTTTCAATGTAAACACCTGGTCCACACACCCCCTACCTTTCCTAAAGCCTCCTTGTTCATCTGCTATCCTATTCTCCGTCTTACTCTTAATTCTTTCAATAATAACTCTACCATACACTTTACCAGGTATACTCAGCAGACTTATCCCCCTATAATTTTTAATACTGTTTATTATTCTAATGTTGCTGTTCTCTCTCCATTTTTGTTAGCATTATTATCCACATCAATACTACAATACTGCATGCCATTTTCAGATTGTTGCGGCAAGTTTCTACGCTGCAGTTGGGTGTGGACACACCTCGTGTTACAAAGAATGTGTTGGAAGAACTGAGCGAGTATGAGGATCAGCATAGCAGCTTGGAGACGCGGCTGAGTGCTGCAGCAGCCCAGCTACAAATGGCTGTTGCCCAGGTGACAAGTGAATGACACTGATTTATTCCAGAGATGCCTTGTTTTGTTAAGTAAAAAGACACGTGTGCAACTAATACAGAATTTTTATTGTGGCAGTGTTTCACTCTTCAGGGGCTTTCTCAAGCTGCTACCAGGTTGACAAAGCTCCTGGAGAGCGAAATGTTGTCACATTAGTTGCACTTGTGTCCATTTACCCGAAATTATTATTATTATCACACCGGCCGATTCCCACCAAGGCAGGGTGGCCCGAAAAAGAAAAACTTTCACCATCATTCACTCCATCACTGTCTTGCCAGAAGGGTGCTTTACACTACAGTTTTTAAACTGCAACATTAACACCCCTCCTTCAGAGTGCAGGCACTGTACTTCCCATCTCCAGGACTCAAGTCCGGCCTGCCGGTTTCCCTGAATCCCTTCATAAATGTTACTTTCTCACACTCCCAAGCAGTCAAGTATTTTAAAAACCCTTTGTCTCCCTTCACTCCTTCAAACCCCTCACCATGCCGCTGGAAGTCCAAGCCCCTCGCACAAAAAACCTCCTTTATACCCCCTCCCCCAACCCTTCCTGGCCACCCCTCCCCCCGCCTTCCTTCCACACAGACTGTACACTTTTTGAATCATTCTGTTTCCTCCATTCTCTCTACATTCCAACCACTTCAAAAACCCTTCCTCACCCTCTGGCAACAGTTTTGGAAATCCCGCACCTCCTCCAACTTCCAAACTAGAATCTCTGTTTTTAAATTCCCCCACACATTGCCCTCAGACATGACATCTCCACTGCCTCCAGCCTTCCCCTCCTGCAACTTTCCACCCCCTTCACACCCAATAAGAGCTTTGGGAAAAATACCCCATACTTTCCCCCTTTGCCCCCCAAGGCAAAGTTCTTTGTCTCCACAGACCCAAGGCCCACTCATCTTTTTCCATCATCAATTCATGATTCACCCCTCTTTTCAAGCCCACCCCTGAAAATCCACCCCCAAAAACTAAAAATACTTTTTTCACCCCCCCATCCCCCCTCCAATCTGATATTCAATCTTTCATCACCTAAACCTTTTGTTATCCTCAAACCTTCTCTTTCCTGTATTCACCTTTAATTTTTTTCTTTGCACACCCTACCCAAAAAAAACCACCAATCCTGCAACTTCTTCAGAATCTCCCAAAAAAATGTCCCCAGCAAGACAGCTGTGACAACCCCCCCCTTTTTTTTTTTTTCCCTTTCCCACCCTCGCCAAAATCCTTTTTTTCCCCCTTTTAAAATTAAAAAATTTTTAAAAAACCACTGAAAAAAAACCTTTTTTTAAAATCCCTTTCGGGGAAAAAATTTCCCCCCCCTACATCTCTATTTTCCTCACTCCTTTTTAAAAAAAACCCCCCCTTTTTTAAAACTCCTCCCCCCACACTTTCAAACGCCCTTTCCCCCCCAAGCATGAAAAAAAAAAAGGTTATTAAATAGGGGGGGGGGGGGGGGGGGGGGGGGGGGGGATTGGGGGGGTTTTTTTTTTTTTTTTTTGGGGGGGGGGGGGGGGTTTTTTTTTTGTTTTTTTTTGGGGGGGGGGGGGGTTTGGGAAAAGGTATTAATAATTTTAAAAAAAAAATAAAAATTTTAAGTTTTAAAATTTTATAAATGGGGGATTTATTTTATAGTGAATTAAAAAATGTTTTAAATTTTTTTGGGGGGGGGGGGGGGGGGGGGGGGGTTTTTTTTTAAAAAAACCCCCAAAATAAATTTTTAAAATTCTCCCAAAAACCCCCTTCCCTTTCCCCAAATCCCCAAACCCCCCCCCATTTTTAATTACAAATTTTTTCGGGTTTCAAAAACTTCCCCAAAATTTTTTTTTATTTTAAAAATTTTTAAAAATTCCCCCCTCTCCCCTTTCCTCTTTTCTCTTCCCCCATTTTAACTTTTCTTTTTCTCCTAAACTTTCCCCCTTGTAAACCACTTTAAAAAAATTTTCCATCCAATTTTTTCCCTATTCTCTTTTTCCTTTATTCCACCAATCTCCCCCCCCCTCCCCCCCCTTTCCTTCCCAAACTTCTTTCCCCCAAAATTTTTTTTAAAAAAAAAAAAAAAAACCCACCCCTACCTCTTCCCCCCATTTCCTATGCTCTCATTCCCACATCCTCCAAAAGCTGTTTAATCTTTCCCTAACTGTCCCTTTTTTTTTATAAACCTTTACCCCTCTCTTCCCGAGCTCTATCTCCTTGTATCCCCTCACCTTTACCTCAGTGTACTACAACAAAAGTGATCTGAATTCTGTGGCCCCCCTATAAACAGTCTCCCGAATCTACCAACTCTTTTACTACCAAAAATAATCCAAAAAACTACTTCATTTTCCCCCACCATATCGTTATACTTATTTCCTTTTTCTTAAAAAATTTTATTACCTAAACAAACCCCTTCATACAAAGTTCAATCAAGGGCTCCCATTTTATTACACCCGGGCCCCCCCAAAAAACCTACCACACCCTCTCTAAAAGTTTTCTCCACTTTTGATTCAAGTCCCCACCAAATTACTCTCCCTTGGTTTAAAGGGCCCCATACCACTAACCTCCCAAAATCTCTCCCTCCTCGCTTCCCTCTTTTCCCCGGGGCATACCCTTATTAAAACCCCCTTCTCGCACCAACCTTACTTTATCCACATAATTCTTGAATTTACACATTCATTTCTCTTTCTCCTTCCATAACGGCTTTAAACATTACGCTCCCCCTTTTTTTCTCAAACCTCTCAAATACTCCTTTTAACCCCATTTTTTTTCCCCCCACTGAAACTCCCTCCCCCCTTCAGTTGTTTCGTTTGGGGCCGGACTCCAACTTTGTCGAAATTTCTCCCACATTGTTACCCTTGTTTTGTACAAAAGTTGAACAAATTTTTTAAAAAGCACTTCCCTATTGGGCTTACTAAAAATTTCCCCAACCCTATATTGACCCTAACCTTTTCATATTCTTATTTTCTTATTTTTGGCCTTTTTTTCACCCCCTTCCACATTACCACATTTATATTAATTTTTTTAAGAGATATTTTTTTTTACTAATTCCAATAAAGATACAACAAATACTGGGACACAGTGTTATTGTGTTCGGCAAGTCATTACATGCGCTAAATATTGATAACTTCCTTAAATTGTTCATGGATGTGACTACAAACTCAGCCAATATTTTGACATAACCCTAAGCTCATTTGGCTTTGAAGATGCCATTTCTTACATTCCCATGGACTGTACCTTATTCCTAGATTCTTTGACAATATTTTCACAGGCTTTTAATGCCTTATAGCAACAGACTCTAGATGCTTGTCTTTTCACAAGCTCTATAGATCACTAATACAAATTTCACTTTTCAAGGATGGCAGTAAAACATTTGTAAAAAATTATAGCCTCCTGTAACTGACATCACACATTATTAATTCTTCTAAAAGAGTGCATTGAAATTAGATTGCTAAATTTACAGTCAAAGTGGATTTAGATCAGGTCACACTTGCATCTCATAACTGCAAGACTTACCACATGGAAGATAAGCAAAATGTAAACATAATACAGTGTGTACAAACTTTATGAAGGACTTCGATTAGCATGGCCATAAAACATTTAACAAAATGTATGAAAATTTAGTAATACAGGTGCACATGCCTTTATCCAAAACCCTTGGGGCTTGTATTGTTTCGAATTTCAGAATGATTCTCAACTTCGCCACGTGGTGGCATAACCCGGCACAGAGATGACTTGACGCTCCACAGACCACAAAAAAACTTCAGTTTTCGGAAATTTTCAAATTTCAGAATTTAGGATAAAGGGATGTGGACCTGTATATACAGGAGAAGGGGTTACTAGCCCCTTGCTCGTGGCATTTTAGTCACTTCTTACGACAAGCATGGCTCATGGGAGAAGAATTCTGTTCCACTTTCCTATGGGGATAAGAGGAAATAAACAAGAACTAGTAAGGAAATAGAAGAAAACCCACAAGGGTATGTGTGTATATATATGCTTGTACATGTATGTGTCACCCTGCCTCGGTGGGAGACGGCCGACTTGTTGAAAAAAAAAAAAAAACATGTATGTGTAGTGTGACCTAAGTGTAAGTAGAAGTAGCATGACGTACCTGAAATCTTGCATGTTTATGAGACAGAAAAAAGACACCAGCAATCCTACCATCATGTAAAACAATTACAGGCTTCTGTTTTACACTCACTTGGCAGGACGGTAGTACCTCCCTGGACAATTGCTGTCTACCAACCTACTACCTAGGAAATTGGAAACTGTACTGAAAATAATTGACATTCATTATGCAACAAATTAATTTTACAGGTGCAGGGAATAGAGATTATAATTGGAGAACAAGAGAGGGAAGCATCTCGGGTGGAAGAGTGTGCTTCACGGCTACTTGCACAAGTTGAAGCTGGATTAGAATCTAATGGACTCAAGCATATGGTGGCTGTTACATCACCAAGAAGGTAATCGTGATTTACTAACAAACAAACAAACTCTCTCTCTTTCTGCAATATTACAAAATGTTGCTAACATGTAACAAAATATTGTTAGGCACAAGAGAAAGCCGCTAACATGCATGTGCATTTAGGGCAGACTAAATACTAATGCTTACAGAGTACTTAAGAACTAGACATAGTTTTTTTTTTTAATGTAAAAAAGTGAGGTAGCTAAGTGAACAATAGTACAATTTTAATGATGCATTAATACAAAAAATGGTAAATGGTAATTGATATCGACTATTTGATTTAATCAGACCCATGAGTAAACACTAGGACATAATAGTGTTTGCTCATGTGTACTTTAAACCACTAAAGTAGAGGCTTTGGTTTGTTCAGTGAGTTTGAGAATAATAACAAATGATTTAAGCTGTGTTATAAGCTTTCCCATTTTTGTATTAACTCCAATGAAAACATATTTATGTACTAAATATCATGCACATCAAAGTTATTGTCTTAAACTTTAATATTTTATACACAACTCAACTTTGAAACACATCTCTACTTATTTACATTATCTGGCCATTTTTTTCTTCTCTACTCCTTTACATTATCTTGCCATTTAGCATTAAAAGATAATGTTTTAACCCTTAAACTGTCCAAATGTAGATCTACGTTTACACGCGTAGCGCTCCAAACATAGTTCAATGTTTTATTTTTCATTCCTTCAAATTTGGCACAGTAGGCTTGAGCCACCTAGACATGAAAGAATAGGTCTCTGCACTCAGTGTGTGCACTATTAAAAAAATTTGGGAGCACTTAGTACCTTGTGGGAGCACCAGTTCAATTGAGCACCAGCTAGAGCAAATAGCGTGGCAAACACCAGGGATTCACTGATGCCATGTCGGATTAACACTCCCATTTTAAGAGGAAAGTAAAAATAGGTTAGATAAATACATGAGTGAGTGTGGGTGGGTGTGAGTTGGACCTGACTAGCTTGTGCTAGTAAGTCTGATGTCATGCTCCTTCCTTCAATGGATGTGACCTGACTAGGTAGGTCATTTGTCTAAGCCGGGTAGGGGGGGGGAGTGTGACATGTACCTGCCTTGCATGGGCCAGTAGGCCTACTGCAGTGTTCCTTCTTTCTTATGTTCTTGTGTATTCAACAGGCTGGCCGGCTGGCTTGCTTTCGATGTCTCTGGCTGTCTCTCTGTTCATATCTCTATCTGTCTATATCTCTATCTGTCTATATCTCTGTCTATCTATATCTCTGTCTATCTATATATCTATCTATATCTCTGTCTATCTGTATATCTATCTATATCTCTGTCTCACATGTACACATAAGTACAGTTATTATACATAGTGTAAATTACTTAGGATAATCCAAAAATTCCAGGCAAAGATAGACAGACAGACAGACTGATAGACAGAAACATGTTTGTGTATATCAGTGAAAACAAATAAAGCCAGGGTTCCCCCGAGCACCCATTTATCAAATGACACCGAGCTGATAACAGGTGTCATAACACGATTCTTCAAGGAGTTTGATATCCTAACTCCAGGCAGACAGAAAGACAGACAGACAGGCAGACAGACAGAGACAGATAGACAGGCAGACAGACAGATAAATAGACAGAGAGACAAGACATGTTTGTGTGTAACAGTGATAACAAATACAGCGAGGGTTAGCTGGACCAGTGGGCATTTATCAAATGTCACTGGGCTGTCAACAGTATAGGGATGCCTTTCATAACACCATGCTTCAAGGTATATGCCAGGGTATCTAAAACATTGCTGGGACCTATAAATACTTTTTATATATTTCTAGACAATAGTAAATAACCCAGGCAGGTGTAAATGTCCATCTATCCATGTGATTGTGACTATATGAGCACTATTTCAGTACATAATATTAGTGTCAGAACAAAGATTGGCTATGAAATTACAAGAACTATTATAAATTGTAATTATCAGAACATAAAAAATATATAAATTCAAATAAAAATGAGAAAAAGATATATTGGCAACACTTCTACAAGCGACAGGAGTCGATGTTGCCAACAGGTGAGCATCCAGTGCCAACTTCACAGTCTTATATCTCAGTAAGTACTGACTCTAATTTTTTTTTTTTAATTCTATAACTTGTAGAAAAATGTGCTCTTCATTTTAAAAGAAAAAAAGCGATTTTTCTATTTTTCAAAATACAGTGGACCCCCGGTTTACGATATTATTTCATTCCAGAAGTATGTTCAGGTGCCAGTACTGAACGAATTTGTTCCCATAAGGAATATTGTGAATTAGATTAGTCCATTTCAGACCCCCAAACATAAACGTACAAACGCACTTAAATAAATACACTTACATAATTGGTCGCATTGGGAGGTGATCGTGAAGCGTGGGTCCACTGTATCCGGAGTGCCATGCGAGTGAACGTAGATCTACATTTGGACAGTTTGAGGGTTAAAGTTCATGTTTCTGGTTATTCGGTCTTGAGTCCTGGTGGTGGGAAGGGCAGTGCCTGTACTCTTAAGGAAGGATGAGAATATTGCAGTCAAAGTTCAATCAGAATTTCAATGTCAGCACATTTCTGGAAAGAAGGTGGTAGAAGAAATGTTGGTGAATGTGCTCTCTTTGAATTACCCTACCTTAGAAGGACTCATTCTCACATATTCCTCCCAAACCCCCAGCACTGCATGACCCTCATGGGTTTAGCACTTAGTTTTAACAGCAATAAGAATAAAAATCCTCCCAGACTTCCACAGTATTCATGTAACTGTGACCTCTAACATAATTGTCTTTATCTTTCATGCATAAACTCTGTTGTACAAGAATGGTATATAATACCGACAAAATGAAATTAAGACACATGTGCCACATCTGGGTATCTTTATTGTAGACGTTTCGCCATCCAGTGGCGAAAACGTCTGGATGGCGAAACGTCTACAAAGATACCCAGATGTTACACATGTGTCTTAATTTCATTTTGTCGGTATTATATACCATTCTTGCACAACTTGTCAGACACTGCTACATCATGGAATCTTGATTCTGAGGACATGTACATAACCTTCACGACTATGACAACTACTACTACAACTAACCCATCTCTTTGGGAAGGACCTACTTCCACTGGGGAATCCTGCCTACCAGTGACTATGCCCTCGTCTGCTACACCTGACCTGACGTTAGTATATAAGCGCCAGGCTCCTTGCTTCTGCTTCAGAATCTCCACAACTATGGTGCTCTTCGCACCTACTCTTAGGTTGAGGGACTGATTACCTCATCTTCTATACATAGTCCTACTGTCTTCAAGTTATGTCCTGGAATTTGTATTGATAAAGCCACTGGATTGCAAAATGTCTACAATAAAGATACCCAGATGTTGCACATGTGTCTTAATTTCATTTTGTCGGTATTATATACCATTCTTGCACAACTTGTCAGACACTGCTACATCATGGAATCTTGATTCTGAGGACATGTACATAACCTTCACGACTACGACAACTACTACTACAACTAACCCATCTCTTTGGGAAGGACCTACTTCCACTGGGGAATCCTGCCTACCAGTGACTATGCCCTCGTCTGCTACACCTGACCTGACGTTAGTATATAAGCGCCAGGCTCCTTGCTTCTGCCTCAGAATCTCCACGACTATGGTGCTCTTTGCACCTACTCCTAGGTTGAGGGACTGATTACCTCATCTTCTGTATATAGTCCTACTGTCTTCAAGTTATGTCCTGGAATTTGTATTGATAAAGCCACTGGATGCTGAAACATCTACAATAAAGATACCCAGATGTTGCACATGTGTCTTAATTTCATCATGCATAAACTCTGCACAGTTCCACAATCTTGGTTGTTTGTTTCAGGCGAAGTACAGCTCGCATGATAGACGACATAGCATCAGCACTGACGTTGCTACTAGGGGAGCTAAATAGAAAATCCTTACGAAATTGTAACATGGAAGTTGAATTAGCACGGCACTATGAGGAAATCCAGTTACTCAGAGAGGCACTGCTAAAGGAAGAAAAGAGGTGATTGCTATTATATTATGTATTTTAATATGTGAAATAGTATTTGTAAAATTTTCATAAGAGTAACATACATTTTTTCGGGTCACACTGACGCATGTGACCTTTGAAAATAATTGTACAATGTGATCCGAAAAAGAAAAAACTGTGAAGCTTGTCTTCTTTTTATATTTAATGATTTATACAGGAGGAACTACTAGCCCTTTGCTCTTGACAAAATATGTACTATTATATGTATATTATGCAAAGCTGTGTATTAAATGTTTTTATTAGGAAAGCATTGTAAGACTAATTTAAATGACTTTTCTTTGAAGATTAAGGGCAGTCGAGCTGGAATTGACGAGAGCAAAGGAGCAGAGCAAAGCAGAAGCTGCCTCTCTGAAGCAGTGTCTGGCTCAAGCAGAGGAAAATTTGCATGACACACAGTAATGTATCTTACTATAGGAAGTAGTTCCCAGGCCCAGGGTCACAACCCAAGAAGAAATTTGAGATTGTCTGTGTAATTCTTTTCGTTTAACATTTCTTTAATGTCTTGCTGCAAATCAAAGGAAATTTACTGGGTCATATCTGCTGGTGCCATTTGGGTTGCAAAATAAATGCAATTTCAAATTTTGGGTTGTGATCAAAAAAAAGTTTGAGAATCAGTGTTCTTAACACTAATGTTAGTTACAGAGAAAACTCTATCTGTAATTCTCTACAAGATAAGATTTTTAAACTTTTAAAATATCAGATAGTTTTTTTTTTTTTTTTATTATCACACTGGCCGATTCCCACCAAGGCAGGGTGGCCCGAAAAAGAAAAACTTTCACCATCATTCACTCCATCACTGTCTTGCCAGAAGGGTGCTTTACACTACAGTTTTAAACTGCAACATCAACACCCCTCCTTCAGAGTGCAGGCACTGTACTTCCCATCTCCAGGACTCAAGTCCGGCCTGCCGGTTTCCCTGAATCCCTTCATAAATGTTACTTTGCTCACACTCCAACAGCACGTCAAGTATTAAAAACCATTTGTCTCCATTTCACCCCCTATCAAACACGCTCACGCATGCCGCTGGAAGTCCAAGCCCTCGCACACAAAACCTCCTTTACCCCCTCCCTCCAACCCTTCCTAGCCGACCCCTACCCCGCCTTCCTTCCACTACAGACTGATACACTCTTGAAGTCATTCTGTTTCGCTCCATTCTCTCTACATGTCCGAACCACCTCAACAACCCTTCCTCAGCCCTCTGGACAACAGTTTTGGTAATCCCGCACCTCCTCCTAACTTCCAAACTACGAATTCTCTGCATTATATTCACACCACACATTGCCCTCAGACATGACATCTCCACTGCCTCCAGCCTTCTCCTCGCTGCAACATTCATCACCCACGCTTCACACCCATATAAGAGCGTTGGTAAAACTATACTCTCATACATTCCCCTCTTTGCCTCCAAGGACAAAGTTCTTTGTCTCCACAGACTCCTAAGTGCACCACTCACTCTTTTTCCCTCATCAATTCTATGATTCACCTCATCTTTCATAGACCCATCCGCTGACACGTCCACTCCCAAATATCTGAATACGTTCACCTCCTCCATACTCTCTCCCTCCAATCTGATATTCAATCTTTCATCACCTAATCTTTTTGTTATCCTCATAACCTTACTCTTTCCTGTATTCACCTTTAATTTTCTTCTTTTGCACACCCTACCAAATTCATCCACCAATCTCTGCAGCTTCTCTTCAGAATCTCCCAAAAGCACAGTGTCATCAGCAAAGAGCAGCTGTGACAACTCCCACTTTGTGTGTGATTCTTTATCTTTCAACTCCACGCCTCTTGCCAAGACCCTCGCATTTACTTCCCTTACAACCCCATCTATAAATATATTAAACAACCACGGTGACATCACACATCCTTGTCTAAGGCCTACTTTTACTGGGAAAAAATTTCCCTCTTTCCTACATACTCTAACTTGAGCCTCACTATCCTCGTAAAAACTCTTCACTGCTTTCAGTAACCTACCTCCTACACCATACACTTGCAACATCTGCCACATTGCCCCCCTATCCACCCTGTCATACGCCTTTTCCAAATCCATAAATGCTACAAAGACCTCTTTAGCCTTATCTAAATACTGTTCACTTATATGTTTCACTGTAAACACCTGGTCCACACACCCCCTACCTTTCCTAAAGCCTCCTTGTTCATCTGCTATCCTATTCTCCGTCTTACTCTTAATTCTTTCAATTATAACTCTACCATACACTTTACCAGGTACACTCAACAGACTTATCCCCCTATAATTTTTGCACTCTCTTTTATCCCCTTTGCCTTTATACAAAGGAACTATGCATGCTCTCTGCCAATCACTAGGTACCTTACCCTCTTCCATACATTTAGTTTGTATTACACAGTAAAGTTTAGTATTGTGTTCAGGGTCAGATTAATGTTTAGTTGTATTTCCTCATACTTCTTGCCACAAACTTAGTATCTCAGCAGAACTACTACTACCTGCAAGCCAGGCTGTTTGTATATATTTATTTTTGAAACAAAACCCCTGGAATTATATGGTTTTGGCCCAGCTGTGTGGAAAATTTCTTTTTTGGTTCACCTTGCCTCGGTGGGAGATGGCCAGCGTGTTAAACAAAAATAGGGTTAACTTAACTTACTAATTTAACTTTTTTTATTACAACTTAGTTCCATGTGTAGACCTGCAAAAGTTGCAGTTGTTAGCTGTCATCAGGCTGGGTGTTTACAAATGTGTCTGTCTTGTTTGCAACACAGATTGCAGGAGTTTTACATACTGAAATATCTAAATATTGTATTATAATTCTTAAGAGTTTATGTCAGTTTTTTTTTTTTTTTTTTTTTTTTTTTTTTAACAAATCAGCCATCTCCCACCGAGGCAGGGTGACCAAAAAAGAAAGAAAATCCCGAAAAAGAAAATACTTTCATCATCATTCAACACTTTCACCTCACTCACATAATAATCACTGTTTTTGCAGAGGTGCTCAGAATACAACAGTTTAGAAGCATATACGTATAAAGATACACAACATATCCCTCCAAACTGCCAATATCCCAAACCCCTCCTTTAACCCTTTGAGGGTCGACAGGCCCTCTCCGAAACTCGTTCTCAGGGTCGGCCAAATTTAAAAAAAAAAAAAAATTATTTTCTCTTATGAAAAGATAGAGAATCTTTTCCCGATCATAAAGACACCAAAAGTTTGAAATTTGATAGAAAACTTACGGAATTATGCTCTCGCAAAGTTAGCGGTCTCGGCGATGTTTACGCATCGGCGATTTTGCCCACTTTGAGCCCCATTTTCGGCCAATTTCACTGTACTAGTCGACAAAAAACATGAATATTTCGCTAGAACTCCATTTTTTCTATCGAATGGATGCAAGAAACCACTCATTTATGAAATTCAACTATCCAGTACAGTGGTCAGAATTTAGCAATTTTGCCAATTTCACACAAATTTCAAAAGATGCCAATTCGGAATAGGGTCCAGAATAAACAAGAAAGACATTCCTGGCACTAAAATGACATTTCCTCTAGTCATTAGTCATGTCTCAAGTCCCCTCTTATATTCTTTTGCTTTCCACTTTGAATTTTTATTTTCACAAAAAATATAAGATTTACTGTTATGCAGACTACTGCATTAGTGTAAAAAATGGTATAAATATTATTGGTGCACTTGTGAAAGAATATTAGACTCACCAGTTGACGTGTATTGCACGCTTGGCACGATTTGTTTACTTTTGAAGTTTGGTAAAAATCGAACATTTCTGCTACTTTGAGCTCAATTTCAAGGCACCTTTCTTTGTAAAACCAGTCAAAATCATCTCAATTTCTGTAATATGTCTTCCATTCTATAAAATGAGACCAAGAAAACTAGAATACAACAATAAATACCATACGAAAATACACTGCAAAGTCGCTGATTTATTAAAAAAAAATGGTCAAAGTTTTTTTTTTCTCATTATGCACTGTGTGCTGCAGGATTTTTTTTAGGCTGTGCACACTGACCACATAGACCCATCTTTCATATGAAGGCCTACCAGCTTTCTCCCACTAGATTTGAGGCCGCTAGAATTTATGAGTACTAGTACGTCAAAAACCCCTACGCGTAAAACGTACTAGTACGACGAAAACCCTCAAAGGGTTAAAGTGCAGGCATTGTACTTCCCATTTCCAGGACTCAAGTCCGGCTATATAAAAATAACTGGTTTCCCTGAATCCCTTCACTAAATATTACCCTGCTTACACTCCAACAGATCGTCAGGTCCCAAATACCATTCGTCTCCATTCACTACTATCTTACACGCTCACACACACTTGCTGGAAGTCCAAACCCCTCGCCCACAAAACCTCCCTTACCCCTTCCTTCCAACCTTTTCAAGGATGACCCCTACCCCGCCTTCCTTCTCCTACAGATTTAAAGGCTCTCCATATTCTACTTTGATCCATTCTCTCTAAATGACCAAACCACCTCAACAACCCCTCTTCAACCCACTGACTAATACTTTTATTAACTCCACACCTCCTAATTTCCACATTCCGAATTTTGTGCATAATATTTACACCACACATTGCCCTTAGACAGGACATCTCCACTGCCTCCAACCGCCTCCTCGCTGCTGCACTCACAACCCAAGCTTCACACCCATATAAGAGTGTTGGTACTACTATACTTTCATACATTCCCTTCTTTGTCTCCATAGATAACGTTTTTTGTCTCCACATATACCTCAATGCACCACTCACCTTGTTTCCTTCATCAATTCTATGAATAACCTCATCCTTCATAAATCCATCTGCTGACACGTCAACTCTCAAATATCTGAAAACATTCACTTCTTCCATACTCCTCCTCTCCAATTTGATATCCAATTTTTCTTTATCTAAATCATTTGATACCCTCATCACCTTAGTCTTTTCTATGTTCACTTTCAACTTTCTACCTCCACCCACCCTCCCAAACTCATCCACTAACCTTTGCAATGTTTCTTTAGAATCTCTCGTAAGCACAGTATCATCAGCAAAAAGTAACTGTGTCATTTCCCATTTTGTATTTGATTCCCCATAATTTAATCCCACCCCTCTCCCGAACAGTGATACTTTCTTCATTACATCAAACAAGAGGAAAATGTAATTATTACAAGGAAATTGTTTTTATATCAGTCAAACCCAATTTTGTTATAATAATTTCATGGTGAAAGTGTTTCTTTGTTATTTAGGTCACCCTGCTTCGGTGGGAGATGGCCAGTGTGTTGAAAAATAATTAAAAGATTGAATATTTCTTTATAGGATATTAATTTCCCTTAGCTGATTTATTTAATAATTATTTTAATTGTTTCCAGGCTGGAGAAAATGAAGCTAAGTGAAACATCAAAGAAGCAAGCTGTAGAAAATGGTGTCATGATAATACAACTCCAACACAAACTGACTGACCTTCAGCGTGAAACAGACTCTATGTATGTTACCTTCTTCTTTCTGGTGTATTAACCTTGAATACATCTTCTCCCTCAGGTTCTGTATAACCTCAGGGAGTTTAGTGCTTCCCCATTAATTCTTTAAGCTTTAGTAATAACACTTGGCAACAAAATTTAACTTTTTGTCCTGTCCAGTTCAGAATCTAAATTGATTGTTTTATGCTAACTTTGATTCCCTAAGATTTTTTTTAATCTTATGTTCAATATTTTGGCTGTTTAAGGTTAAAGAACCACATGATATTCTTTTTACCTAACAGTCATAGTCATAATATTTATTATTTTTTTATTATCACACCGGCCGATTCCCACCAAGGCAGGGTGGCCCGAAAAAGAAAAACTTTCACCATCATTCACTCCATCACTGTCTTGCCAGAAGGGTGCTTTACACTACAGTTTTTAAACTGCAACATTAACACCCCTCCTTCAGAGTGCAGGCACTGTACTTCCCATCTCCAGGACTCAAGTCCGGCCTGCCGGTTTCCCTGAATCCCTTCATAATGTTACTTTTGCTCACACTCCAACAGCACGCAAGTATTAAAAACCATTTGTCTCATTCACTCCTATCAAACACGCTCACGCATGCCTGTGGAAGCCCAAAGGCCCTCGCACACAAAACCCCCTTTACCCCCCCCCTCCAACCCTTCCTAGGCCGACCCTACCCCGCCTTCCTTCCACTACAGACTGATACACTCTTGAAGTCATTCTGTTTCGCTCCATTCTCTCTACATGTCCGAACCACCTCAACAACCCTCCTCAGCCTCTGGACAACAGTTTTGGTAATCCCGCACCTCCTCCTAACTTCCAAACTACGAATTCTCTGCATTATATTCACACCACACATTGCCCTCAGACATGACTTTCTCCACTGCCTCCAGCCTTCTCCTCGCTGCAACATTCATCACCCACGCTTCACACCCATATAAGAGCGTTGGTAAAACTTACTCTCATACATTCCCTCTTTGCCTCCAAGGACAAAGTTCTTTGTTTTCCACAGACCCCTTTAAGTGCACCACTCACTCTTTTTCCCTCATCAATTCTAGGGATTCACCTCATCTTTCTTTAGACCCACCCGCTGACACGTCCACCCCCAAAAATATCTGAATACGTTCCCCCTCCTCCATACTCTCTCCCTCCAATTGATATTCAATCTTTCATCACTAATCTTTTTGTTATCCTCAAAAACCTTACTCTTTCCTGTATTCACCTTTAATTTTCTTCTTTTGCACACCCTACCAAATTCATAAAACCAATCTCTGCAACTTCTCTTCAGAATCTCCCAAGAGCACGTGTATCAGCAAAGAGCAGCTGTGGACAACCCCCACTTTGTGTGTGATTCTTTATTTTTTTAACTCCACGCCTCTTGCCAAGACCCGCATTTACTTCTCTTACAACCCCCATCAAAAATTTATATTAAACAACCACGGTGACATCACAACCTTGTCTAAGGCTACTTTTACTGGGAAAAATTTCCCTCTTTCCTACATACTCTAACTTGAGCCTCCTATCCTCGAAAAAAACTCTTTCACTGCTTTCAGTAACCTACCTCCTACACCATACACTTGCAACATCTGCACATTGCCCCCCTATCCACCCTGTCATACGCCTTTTCCAAATCCATAAATGCCACAAAGACCTCTTTTTGCCTTATCTAAATACTGTTCACTTATATGTTTCACTGTAAACACCCGGTCCACACACCCCCTACCTTTCCTAAAGCCTCCTTGTTCATCTGCTATCCTATTTTTCGTCTTACTCTTAATTCTTTCAATTATAACTCTACCATACACTTTACCAGGTACACTCAACAGACTTAAACCCCTATAATTTTTGCACTCTCTTTTATCCCCTTTGCCTTTATACAAAGGAACTATGCATGCTCTCTGCCCAATCCCAGGTACCTTACCCTCTTCCATACATTTATTAAATTATTTCACCAACCCCTCCAAAACTATATCCCCACCTGCTTTTAACATTTCTATCTTTATCCATCAATCCCGCTGCCCTTACCCCCTTTTATTTTACCTACTGGGCCCCACGAACTTCCCCCCCCACTCAAACTGGCTCTTCCTCACTCCCACAAGATGTTATTCCTCCCTTTCCCTATACACGAAATCACAGCTTCCCCATCTTCATCAACATTAAAAAATTCCTCAAAATATTCCTTCCATCTTCCCAATACCTCTAACTCTCCATTTAATTTAAATCTCCTCTCCTATTTTTAATGACAAATCCATTTGTTCTCTAGGCTTTCTTAACTTGTTAATCTCACTCCAAAACTTTTTCTTATTTTCAAAAAATTTTTTGATAACATCTCACCCCCTCCTCCCTTTGCTCTCTTTTTACATTGCTTCACCCCTCCTTAACTTCTCTCTTTTTCTCCATATACTCTTCCCTCCTTGCATCATTCTACTTTGTAAAAAAAAAATTCTCATATGCTAACTTTTTTTCCCTTCTACTCTCTTTACATCATCATTCACCAATCGCTCCTCTTCCCTCCTGCACCCACTTTTCCCGTAACCACAAAATTCTGCTGAACACTCTAACACTACATTTTTAAGCCTACCCCATACCTCTTCGACCCCATTGCCTATGCTCTCATTAGCCCATCTATCCTCCAATAGCTGTTTATATCTTACCCTAACTGCCTCCTCTTTTGTTTATAAAAACCCTTTACCTCTCTCTTCCCTGATGCTTCTATTCTCCTTGTATCCCATCTACCTTTACTCTCAGTGTAGCTACAACTAGAAAGTTGATTCTGATATATCTGTGGCCCCCCTATAAACATGTACATCTGAAGTCTACTCAACAGTCTTTTATCTACCAATACATAATCCAACAAACTACTGTCATTTCGCCCTACATCATATCGTGTATACTTATTTATCCTCTTTTTCTTAAAATATGTATTACCTATAACTAAACCCCTTTCTATACAAAGTTCAATCAAAGGGCTCCCATTATCATTTACACCTGGCACCCCAAACTTATGCATACAATAACAAAAATAATTTTTAACAAATTCATTATACATTCAGTATTTTTTTACACATCAGTTTTACAGGCTAAGAGCTGTTATCCTACATCAGCTCATTTAAAAACCCCTGCCCTATCTAGGGTATACTACCATCCCCTGGGATGTAACCAGTAACAGTCAACTAACACCGAGGTACCTGCTTACTGCTAGGTAGTGAGTAAGGGCTGCAGATATAAGGAAACATCTGTTCAGTATAGGTCTCCTACATTAATGTCCAGCAGTGGTTAGCCATGAGATTGATCATCAGGTTTTTCCTGATAACTCTTCTATATGATGGTTGTGTCTTAGTTGAAAACATTCACTGTGGAATTCTGTCTCACAGAAACTGCACATGTTGGAGCAAAACTTAAATTCAGGTTTGAATTCAGCACCCCCAAATTTAGTTAGAAACACACATTTTTAAACTTGAAATGAAACTTTCATTGGCCAGTGAAGTCATGTATAAGAAATGCATTTATTTTTTTAACACGTTGGTCATCTCCCACCGAGGCAGGGTGACCCAGAAAGAAAAATACTTTCTTCATCATTCAACACTTTCACCTCATACATAATCACTGTCTTTGCAGAGGCGCTCAGATACAACAATTCAGAAGTCCATCCAAACTGCCAATATCCCAAACCCCTCCTTTAAAGTGCAGGCATTGTACTTCCCATTTCCAGGACTCAAGTCTGGCTAACCGGTTTTCCTGAATCCCTTCACAAAATATTACCCTGCCCACCATCCAACAGCTCGTCAGGTCCCAAAAACCATTTGTCTCCATTCATTCCTCATCCACAAAACCTCTTTTACCCCTCTCCCTCCAACCTTTTCGAGGACAATCCCTACCCCGCCTTCCGTTCCCTACAGATTTATATGCTCTCCAAGTCATTCTGCTTTGATCCATTTTCTCTAAATGACCAAACCACCTCAACAACCCCTCTTCAGCCCTCTGACTAATACTTTTAGTAACTCCACACCTCCTAATTTAATGTAAGGTAGTAGGTTGGTAGACAGCAACCGCCCAGGGAGGTACTACCGTCCTGCCAAGTGAGTGTAAAACGAAAGCCTGTAATTGTTTTACATGATGGTAGGATTGCTGGTGTCCTTTTTTCTGTCTCATGAACATGCAAGATTTCAGGTACGTCTTGCTACTTCTACTTATACTCTGGTCACACTACACATACATGTACAAGCATATACGTATATACATACCCCTCTGGGTTTTCTTCTATTTTCTTTCTTGTTCTTGTTCTTGTTTATTTCCTATCTCCATGGGGAAGTGGAACATAATTCTTCCTCTGTAAGCCATGCGTGTTGTAAGAGGCGACTAAAATGCCGGGAGCAAGGGGCTAGTAACCTCTTCTCCTGTATATATTACTAAATTTGAAAGGAGAAACTTTCGTTTTTCCTTTTGGGCCACCCCGCCTCGGTGGGATACGGCTGGTGTGTTGAAAAAAAGAAAGAAGTAGGTTGGTAGACAGCATCCATTCAGGGAGGTACTACATTCCTACCAAGTAAGTGTAAAAAGGATGCCTGTATTTGTTTTACATGATGGTAGGATTGCTGGTGTCTTTTTTCTGTCTCATAAAACATGCAAGATTTCAGGTACGTCTTGCTACTTATACTTAGGTCACACTACAGAGACATGTACACGTTTATTTATACACACTCATCTGAGTTTTCTTTGATTTTATCTTAATAGTACTTGTTCTTATTGCTTTTCCTTTCATATCCATGGGGAAGTGGAATAAGAATCTTTCCTCCGTAAGGTATGCGTGTTGTAAAAGTCAACTAAAATGCTGGGAACAATGGGCTAGTAACCCCATTTCCCGAATAGCCTACTAAAAAGGATTAATAGAAAACCGTCATATTTAAGAAATGCATATTTTGTGAAATTATCTGTTAGCTTACTATTTTCTACTTTCAGAGTGAGTAATTTGGAACATAGATTACAAGCCACCGCTAAGGAGAAACAAGCACTGGAATCAACCTCAGAAGAATTGAAAAATCAATTGAGGCTTCGAACAAAACAAAGTAATCTTGTTGAGGTGGGATATTTTTGTTTTCGTTATACCTCCTGTTTTCCAAGGAAGGGAGGCTCAGCTAAATTCATATTCCTCTGGTCAGCAACAATATTGCTGAACTAACATGAAATCAATTGTTCTTGTATTTAGCAGCAATGGGGAAGACTGTGGTTTAACAATTCTTTGAGCATTGTTTGGTGAAATGTTGATAAATAAAAATTCCCAATTTTGGCTTTGTTCCTCCTAGAAGTTTAATAAACTACTGCATTTCTCGGGCATAATGAACTACAGTACATTGCATCAACATAAATGGCAATACAGTTGAACCTTGCTTACGAGTGTCCCAACTTAGGAGTTTTTTGAGATACGAGCTGTCCCTGGGTCGATTTTTAGCTCTGAGTTATGAGCCAACATTTGAGTTACGAGCCAGCTCCTCCTCCCTCTTCCCCCTCAACCCAAAACCTGGACACCTCTCTTGTTTATGTATGATTTCATGCTTTAATTCCATGGAAATCATTCTCTTTTTCTTCTCAGCAATAATAATATAATATTATTATAGTCAAGTCACTCAATAAGTCAGTCATGTCATTCATTAAGTCAGTCAAGTAACTCAGTAAGTCAGTCAATAAGAGCATGGGAAGATACTATAGTCAAAGTTAGACAGGAAATGACAGATGCTTCCGCCGCTGCCTCTGCCACCATATTATGGCCTATTTTATTCATTCTAGAGTATATATCATGTTTCTGTGTTAATTATATTGTTTATTATGTCATATTAGATGAATTGTGATAGATAAATAATCCATAAAGTTAATATTAGTGTCATATTCAAGTATTTTGTCTTGTCTCCAGAGTGCAGGAACAATTAATGGCTTTTAAGTTAATTTAAATGAGGAAAATTGATTTGATATGCTAGTAAATTGAGGTACGATCTAGGTCATGGAACAGATTAAACTCGTAAGTCAAGGTTCCACTGTACAGGTGGAGTATTAGCCCTTTCAGGGTCCAGAGCCCAAATTTCAAAGTGCGCACCAGTGTCCAAGAATTTTCAAAAAATAATTTTGTTATTTTTTCTTATGAAATGGTAGAGAATCTTTTTCTGAAGGTAATAAAACAAAAAGTATGAAATTTGATGGGAAATGACGAAATTGTGCTCTCGCGGATTTTGATATGTCAGCAATATTTACGCATCGGCGATTTTGCCAACTTTGACTTCCATTTTATGTGAATTACCTTAGTCCAGTCAACCAAATTCTTAGCTATTTCACTAGTATTACTTCTGTTCTATCAATTGAGCACAAGAAATCGCCAACTCAATTGTTTCAACTACAAAATAAAGTGATTGGAAATTGGTAATTTGGCCAATTTAGTGCAAAGTTCAAAATATTCCAATTTCAAATTAGGGTCCAGAAAAAATAATGCAGGCATTCCTGGCACTAAACTAACATTTCCTCTGTTCATTAGTTACATTTTTCAGGCTTTACAAATGAATTCCATTTTGATTTTTAAATCACATAATGAATTTTTATTCAAACCAAAAAAATAGAAGATTTACTGTAATACAATATTGTAATAATTGTATAAATAATATCACCACATTTGTAAACATATATTAGACCCACCAGCTGGCGTGTATTAGAAGTGTGAGGTCATTTGTTTACTCTTGAACATCGGCAAAAATTTAACATTTCCACTACTTTGAGCTCAATTTCAAGCCATTTTCAGTACTAAAACCAATCAAAATCATCTCTATTTCTGTAATATATCTTCCATTCTATCAAATGAGACCAAGAAATCACAAACACAACTATAAAAAACATACAAAACAACACTGCAAAGTTGCTGTTTTAATAAAAAATTACAGTCTCAGTTTTTTTTCTCTCATTATGCACTGTGTGCTGCAGGATTTGTTTTATGTGGTGCACACATACCACATAGATGTATTCTCTAATATCTAGGCCCCAATTTATCGCTCACAGCTTATCAGAGCGAGCTGAGTTCATGACGTAGATCTATGGTTTGGACCCTTAACGTAAAGCCGTAGATCTATGGCACGGACCCTGAAAGGGTTAATGGAAGAGCTGCCCTCCAAGAAAGTTCCTTGATGTTGGTGACTGGTTCTTGGTCTAGGAGAATGGAAGGCATTCAGGCTTGAATCAAGCCTGAATGCCTTCCATTCTCCTAGGCACTGTATGACCCCTATGGGTTTAGTGTAATAATAATAATAATGGAATAGCTGCTTCTAAAGCACATCTGTATTGTATCTTATGGGCTTACAAGACTCAGCATATCTAGTGTTCCAGCCCTTAACTGAAGCTTTATGCAGAATATTTCCCAAAGCTGTTAGAGATGCCTTCGATATCATTTTTCAAGAAACCGGCCTTCTCCCACTGAAGTAGGGTGACCAGTAAAGAAGAAACACTTTCACCATCATTCACTCCATTGTCCCTCTGGCAAGATAGTGATGGAGTAAATAATAGTGAAAGTGTTTCTTCTTTTTTATGGGTCACCCTGCCTCAGTGAGAGCTGGTAGGATACTTGAAAAAAAAATCAAAAGCATTCCTTACAGTTTTAAATAATAATTTTGTTATACATGCTGTATGTTTTATTATATATTGCAGGTTTAATTATAATTTTATATTTATATTTTTTATTTTCTCCATGGGGAAGTGGATCAGAATTCTTCCTCCGTAAGCCATGCGTGTTGTAAGAGGCGACTAAAATGCCAGGAGCAAGGGGCTAGTAACCCCTTCTCCTGTATATATTACTAAATGTAAAAGGAGAAACTTTCGTTTTTCCTTTTGGGCCACCCTGCCTTGGTGGGATATGGGCGATGTGTTGAAAGAAAGAAAGAAAGACTTTTTATTTTATAATATGGAAAATATCATATGTGCCAGAAATGAAGATAGTGTACACAGACTAATTGAAATAATGTAATGACAAAAACATCTCCTCAGGAAGAGAACAATTTGCTTATTGAAGGATTGAGAGTGACCATCAGACGGCAGCAAAATGAAATGGACCAGTTACGTCAACAGCTTGACTCAACCTCTGGTCAAAAGAACGATCTTTCACGCAGGGTGAATGAATTGTGAGTCCTAATTTGAGTGATGTGTTATTTTTAACATGATTTGTCTTTACCTTTGTGTTGGTGCTGTTTGTACGTGTGTACTGTAGCACCTTTGGTCTGCAATCCTTGCACGATGCCACTGACTATATGAACTGTTGCATGGTAGGAAAGAATAAGTACAAAATTCGAACAGTGGAGAAGGATGCAGGAGTGGAGAGATCAGAGCTATGATGCTCAGGATGCCGTACTTTGTTATGGGGCTCTGAGTCTAACTTACAGGTGCAGAAAAGAATGTCAACACATTCCCACAAGCAGATGAAACATTGAGAAATTGATTTTGACTTAGATTTTGGCTGTGGTAATGTTTATTCTTTTCTGCCATATGTCTTATATAATCAACAATGTTGTCTTATTTCATGTGTTATCTATGTATTTCTCTCCCTGCTTGCACTTCAACAGTGTATTCAATGTACTGTCTTTAGCTACTTGGGTTTGTTCCACTAACATATCCCTTGATCTTAAGAATGCAGCTACAGAATCAGTACATCTTTTTTACAATCCACTTTCTTCATTTATGAGTGATAAACATTTACTTACTCTTTAAAGAATAAAAAGGCACCATACTGTGCCTGGAACAATACATAAATAACCTACACATAAAAAAATGAAACTTATGATGACATTTTGGTCCACCTGTGACCATTAACTAGACCAAATCATAAGTTTTATTCTATGTGCACGTTATTTGCGTATTTTCTTAGTCTCATAGGATTTATAGTCTAGCAAATTTTTCAAGGTATAATATTCATGTGTGTTGCAGGTGGTTGGTAGGCTTCATTGAATTTATCAGGTTTTTCTTTGATAACTGCACCATAAGGAAGATTAAGATTAGTTGGTTTGTTATATTTAAAGTCTATCAGCTTCATGAGGGTATTTAAAGCTGTAGGTATCCTTTACACTTCCAGTCAAGAATACCTTAATCAAATGGGGAGTGAAGTAAACTGTCATTGTATCTACACTAAGATTGAGATACATTTTGGTGTACTTCATATACATTAAGAGATGAACACCTTTTGGTGTACATCACAGATATGCACACTTTTCCATGTATATTCACAAAGAGAGTCATGCATTACGATTTATGTATGCTGAGATAAACATGTTTTAGTATATACACTGTAGCCTGATTCAGATAATAAGGGTAACTTGATGCAGGGACTTCATCCTGCCAATCCCACATCTTCATTTAAATTTATTTTGTGCAGATGCTGAAGATCAGCTGTCTTCATTTCATTTTTTTTTTAATGTTTTCTTTGCACCATTGACACTGGACTAGCTTTTGTGTATCTCATTGGTGTTAAAGGGGGAAAGGAAATTGAAATGTCTTCAAATTCAGTAATATACCATACTTCTTGTTAATATTAAATGCTTGTATTTCTGTTGACCTAGGTAGTAGGTTGGTAGACAGCAACCACCCAGGGAGGTACTACCTTCCTGCCAAGTGAGTGTAAAACGAAAATCTGTAATTGTTTTACATGATGGTAGAATTGCTGGTGTCCATTTTTCTGTCTTATAAACATGCAGGGTTTCAGGTACATCTTGCTACTTCTACTTACACTTAGGTCACACTACACATACATGTACAAGCATATATATACACACCCCTCTGGGTTTCCTTCTATTTTCTTACTAGTTCTTGTTCTTGTTTATTTCCTCTTATATCCATGGGGAAGTGGAACAGAAATCTTCCTCCGTAAGCCATGCGTGTTGAAAGAGGCAACTAAAATGCCAAGAGCAAGGGGCTAGTAACCCCTTCTCCTGTATATGTTACTAAATTTGAAAAGAGAAACTTTCATTTTTCTTTTTGGGCCACCCTGCCTTGGTGGGATGTAGCCAGTTTGTTGAAAAAAAAAAAATCTGTTGACTATCTCTAATTATGTCGTTTTATTTTGACAGGGAGAGTGAGTTATCTACGGAACAAGAGCAACATCAAAATCTAATAAAAGATGCATCGGACTTAAAGACATCAATCAGTAATCTTAAACTAGAACACACTGGGGTAGAGAAAACTCTTCGAGACAAAGTTAGTTGAAGAAACTAGTAAAACAACCATTTTCTTTTAATTTGTTTAATTCGTGAAAGGATTCGCATTTGACTCGCAAAATCACAATAACATGATTGCAAACCAATCACGAAACAGGTGGGATTTGAACCCATGGCCAGTGAGTCGTAAAACTCCAGGCACTGGCCTGGGGTTCAAACCTCACCTGTTCTATGGTTTATTCATAAGTCTAAATATGGCTAAAAAAAAGTATTATCTTTCACTTCTTGTATATTATTGCTTCCATAAGCCTGTATATTCATTGGCTGAAGTATATATAGCTCTTACATTTCCATTTAAATGTATTGCAGCTTAATGAGAGTTTGGCAACTCAGTGTGAACTGGAAGGTCGAATACGATCTTTAGACCTCATTGTACTGCAGTTACGGACTGAACTACAGATGGAGAAACATCGGTCCACAGCTTTATCTGATGAGACAAGTAGTTTGCATAAAAAGGTTTGTAATTATATACAAAATTCTATAATACTTTTTTTTTTTTTTCAACAAGTCTGCCGTCTCCCACCGAGGCAGGGTGACCCAAAGAGAAAGAAAATCCCCAAAAAGAAAAAACTTTCATCATCATTCAACACTTTCACCTCACTCACACATAATCACTGTTTTTGCAGAGGTGCCCAGAATACAACAGTTTAGAAGTATATACGTATAAAAACACACAACATATCTCTCCAAACTGCCAGTATCCCAAACCCCTCCTTTAGAGTGCAGGCATTGTACTTCCCATTTCCAGGACTCAAGTCCGGTTATATAAAATAACCGGTTTCCCTGAATCCCTTCACTAAATATTACCCTGTTCACACTCCAACAGATCGTCAGGTCCCAGATACCATTTGTCTCCATTCACTCCTATCTAACACGCTCACGCACGCTTGCTGGAAGTCAAAACCCCTCGCCCACAACACCTCCTTTACCCCCTCCATCCAACCTTTTCGAGGACGACCCCTACCCCGCCTTCCTTCCTCTACAGATTTATACGCTCTCCATGTCATTCTACTTTGATCCATTCTCTCTAAATGACCAAACCACCTCAACAAACCCTCTTCAGCCCTCTGACTAATGCTTTTATTAACTCCACACCTTCTCCTAATTTCCACACTCCAAATTTTCTGCATAATACTTACACCACACATTGCCCTTAGACAGGACATCTCCACTGCCTCCAACCGGCTTCTTGCTGCAGCATTTACAACCCAAGCTTCACACCCATATAAGAGTGTTGGTACTACTATACTTTCATACATTCCCTACTTTGCCTCCATAGATAACATTTTTTGCCTCCACATATACCTCAATGCACCACTCACCTTTTTTCCTTCATCATTTCTATGATTTACCTCATCCTTCATAAATCCATCCGCTGACACGTCAACTCCCAAATATCTGGAAACATTCACTTTTTCCATACTCCTCCTCCCCAATTTGATATCCAATTTTTCTTTATCTAAATCATTTGATACTCTCATCGCCTTACTCTTTTCTATGTTCACTTTCAACTTTCTACCTTTACACACATTCCCAAATTCGTCCACTAACCTTTGCAATTTTTCTTTAGAATCTCCCATAAGCACAGTATCATCAGCAAAAAGTAACTGTGTCACTTCCCATTTTGTATTTAATTCCCCATAATTTAATCCCACCCCTCTCCCGAACACCCTAGCATTTACTTCTTTTACAACCCCATCTATAAATATATTAAACAACCATGGTGACATTACGCATCCCTGTCTAAGACCTACTTTTACTGGGAAGTAGTCTCCCTCTCTTCTTCACACCCGTAATTATTATTTTTAATGTACAGTATAAGTCAATACTGTCTCGATTCTGAGAATTATATGCGACAAAGAATTGCATGAATTATTACAAGAATCAAGCTGTTGTTGCTGACATCATAGATGCCACTGGTACTGATGTCATCTTTGAATGGAACATTGGATTACCATATGTACAGAATGAAACTAAATAAAAGTGAAAGCATAAATAAAGATGGGAAACTTGATGAAAAACACTTTTACTGAGTTGGATGGAAATATTGTACTGCCAACAATAGTTAAGAAAAGGCACACAGGTGCAGAACAAGCTTTTATTGTGACACTGTTGCACTCTTTGTAGAGCTTTATCAAGCTATGACTTGATAAAGCACTACACAGAGCAAAATGTTCTTGAAGCGTCCCCCGTAATGTGTCTTTTCTTCACAAGATTGATGGACCCAGTGACCTGATACAAAATATACTGAAATAACACTAGATTCCTGTAATTCTTTTTTTCTTATTTATGACATGAGAATTTTGTAAGATTCAAAGTTAGTTTGCTTAAAATGGTTTACAAAATAAGTGGTTCTCTTTTGAGCATATAAGATCATGGATAACTAAAGTGTAATAAACACTTGTTAATGCTCAAAAATAGCCCACATGCAGACAAATTCAGAAGATTAATTAATCTGTATATTTCTGGCAAGACAATGATGGAATAAGTGAGGGTGAAAGTGTTTTTGTTTTTGGGTTACCCTGCCTCAGTGGAGAAACTTTTTTTTTTGGGGGGGAAAAAAAAAAGTTTCTGTAAATTTTTGTAAATTGTCAAAAGGGGTTTAAATCCCTTTGGGAAACATTCTTCATGGGGGAACGTGCTAAAGAAAAATGAGTTAAGAAGAACTAGGCATTAGAGTAAAAGACAGTAAAATTTATTTATTTTTTTTTCATAGGTAAAAGATTTCAAGAACGAGTATGGAGTAGACTCGTAGGCAGAGAAAAATGCAGCGTAGCATTAGGATGGGACAGTTTAAAGCGCAGTGGTCATCCACCCACAGGAGACTCGGCAGGGGGAAACAGTAGCCAAGTTTAGCAGTTATTTGAGCTTGTTTCCCCTAGCAGCAAGAAATGATAAAGTTCAGCAGGTGCAGGTAGTTGGGTATCCTTACAGGGACGTACCTTCTTTTATTGGGATTTTAAAAACAATTTATAGAATCCATTTTAAAATGGCCCTTTTGGGCTTACAACCAGTATCCACGGGGTCTGGTATCCCCGTTTCAGTTATCTCCCATCTTGTTCATGGGATACAGCCAATGTGTTGAAAGAATAATAAAAAAATAAAACGAAAGTAACTTTTTAATGAGCAAAGCAAATTATCAATTCCTTTTGATATTTGTATAAGAAAGATTTTTTTACTTTTTTTCATTTTAAAAATTTAATCTCTTTTAATAGTGCTGATAAAAGAAGTGGGAGATGGCCAAGCCGGAGGAACTCTTCACACACTGCTGGGGAAAAAGACGCAGACTTCACAGCCTCATATTCACCTCTACCCAGATCACAGCAAAAAACCAGGGTAAAAAAAAAAATTTGAAATTAGCTCTTTGTAATAAAATTTAGTAAAATTTACATTTGATTTTCAGTTCCCATCCTTCAAAAAATGTCCTTTGGAACCGGGAAATTTTTTTTTTTTTTTTTTTCAACAAGTCGGTCGTCTCCCCCGAGGCGGGTGCCCCAAAAAAGAAAAAAAAACCCCCAAAAAGAAAATACTTCACATCATTCAATTTTCACCACACTCACACTTTATCACTGTTTTTGCAGAGGTGCTCAGAATACAACCTTAGAAGTTTATAAAAAAAATACAAACTATCCCTCCAAACTCCCAATATCCCAACCCCCCTTTAAAGTCGGGCATTGTACTTCCCTTTCCCCGGACTCAAGTCCGCAATGAAAAAAACCGGGTTTCCCTGAATCCCTTCACTAAATATTACCCTGCCACACCCAACAGATGCAGGTCCCAATTTCATTCGTCCCATTCACTCCATCTAACCCTCAGCACGCTTGGGGAAAGTCCAAGCCCCCGCCCACAAAACCCCTTTTACCCCCTTTTCCCAAACCCCTTTCGGGGACGACCCTACCCCTCTTCCCCTTCCCCTATAGATTTTTTAAAGCTTTCCATGTCATTCTACTTTTATCCATTTCTTAAATGACCAACCACCTCAACAACCCCCTCTGCCCCCTGACTAATGCTTTTATTAACTCCCCACCTTTTCCTAATTTTCCCCATCCGAATTTTTTGCATAATATTTACACCACACATTTCCTTGACAGGACATCTCCACTGCCCCCAACCCTTCCCCCTTCTGCTGCATTTACCACCCAGCTTCACATCCATTTTAAGTGTTGGGATATATACTTTATAATTCCCTTTTTTGCCTCCAAATAAGTTTTTGACTCCAAATTTACCTCAACGCACCCCTCACCTTTTTTCCCTCATCAATTTATGATTAACCCCATCCTTCATAAATCCATCCGCCCACACTTCAATCCCAATATTGAAAAAATTCACTTCTTCCATACTCCTCCTCCCCCCGTTTGATATCCGTTTTTTCTTTATCAAAACATTTTATACCCTCATCACCCTTACTTTTTTATGTTCACTTTCAACTTTCCCCTTTACCACATTCTCAAATATCCACTAACCTTTGCAATTTTTCTTTAGAATCCCTAGCACAGTATCTCAGCAAAAAGTAACTGTGTCAATTCCCATTTTGAATTTGATTCCCCATAATTTAATCCCACCCCTCTCCCAAACACCCTAGCATTTACTTCTTTTAAAACCCATTATAAATATATTAAACAACCTTTGGGGGGACATTCACATCCTGTTAAGACCTATTTTTTACCGGGAAGTATTCTCCCTCTCTTCTACATACCCTAACCTGGGCCTCACTATCCTCAAAATAGCTCTTTACAGCATTTAGTAACTTACCACCTATTCCATATACTTGCAACATCTGCCACATTGCCCCTCTATCCACTCTATCACATGCCTTTTCTAAATCCATAAATGCAATAAAAACTTCCCTACCTTTATCTAAATACTGTTCACATATAGGCTTCAATGTAAACACTTGACCCTACACATCCCCTACCCACTCTGAAGCCCCCTTGCTCATTCGCAATTCTACATTCTCTCTTACCTCTAATTCTTTAAATTTATAACCCTACCGTATACTTTTCCTGGTATACTCAGTAAACTTATTCCTCTATAATTTTTACAATCTCTTTGTCCCCTTTCCTTATATAAAGGGACTATAATGCTCTCTGCAATTCTAGGTCCCTTTCCCCCTCTTTCATACATTTATTAAACAAAAGTACCAACCACTCCAACACTTTATCCCCTGCTTTTAACATTTCTGTCATGATCCCATCATTTCCCAGCTGCTTTACCCCCTTTCATTCTACGTAATGCCTCACTACCTCCACCACACTTACATTCTGCTCTTCTTCACTCCAAAAAGATGGTATACCCCCCTGGCCAGTGCATAAAATTACCGCCTCCCTTTCTTCCTCAACATTTAAAAGTTCCTCAAATATTCTCGCCATCTACCAAATACCTCCCTCTCCCTCTACTAACTCCCCTACTCTGTTTTTAACTGACAAACCCATCTTTCCCTAGGCTTTCTTATTGTTTAACTCACTCCAAAATTTTTTCTTATTTTCATTAAAATTTCTTGACAGTGCCTCTCCCACTCTTTCATCTGCTCTCCTTTTGCACTCTCTCACCACTCTCTTCACCTTTTTTTTACTCTCCATATACTCTGCTCTCTTATAACACTTCTGTTTTGTAAAAACCTCTCATAAGCTACCTCTTTCTCTTTTATCACACCCTTTACTTCATCATTCCACCAATCACTCCTCTTTCCTCCTGCCCCCACCCTTTATGACCACAAACTTCTGCCCCACATTCTAATACTGCATTTTTAAAACTATTCCAACCCTCTTCAACCCCCCCACTACTCATCTTTGCACTAGCCCACCTTTCTGCCAATAGTCGCTTATATCTCGCTCGAACTTCCTCCTCCCTTAGTTTATACACTTTCACCTCCCTCTTACTTGTTGTTGCCACCTTCCTCTTTTCCCATCTACCTCTTACTCTAACTGTAGCTACAACTAAATAATGATCTGATATATCAGTTGCCCATCTATAAACATGTACATCCTGGAGCCTACCCATCAACCTTTTATCCACCAATACTTAATCTAACAAACTACTTTCATTACGTGCTACATCATACCTTGTATATTTATTTATCCTCTTTTTCATAAAATATGTATTACTTATTACCAAAATTTCTTTCTACACATAGCTCAATTAAAGGCTCCCATTTACATTTACCCCTGGCACCCCAAATTTACCTACTACTCCCTCCATAACATTTTTACCCACTTTAGCATTGAAATCCCCAACCACCATTACTCTCACACTTGATTCAAAACTCCCCACACATTCACTCAACATTTCCCAGAATCTCTCTCTCTCCTCTACACTTCTCTCTTCTCCAGGTGCATACACGCTTACTATAACCCACTTTTCACATCCAATCTTTATTTTACTCCACATAATCCTTGAATTTATACATTTGTATATATATTAATTATTTTTTACAGAGCTTGAGGAGCTTACTGGTAAAGTAACATTTTTAGAGGATCAGCTAGGATCACTACTCTCTGGTCTGGAAGTGAGTGCAGCTATTGGCAACATAACAACAGAAGTTGGCCGCCTGCTGCAGGACCGCACGAGCCATCTTGACTCTCTGGACGATTCCTCACATTGGCTTCAAGAGGAAATGTCATCATTAGCTTTGGTTAGCCATAGTGAGAATTTGTTATTCATATGTTTTTATGCATAATAATATTGATTACTTGTAATATAGTATTATTAATTTTTACCTGTAATATAGAGCATTATTAATTTTCCAATTACTGTAATATCATGGCATACTGGAGGCCCTAAATATTGTAACCAGAGATTTGAAATGACATATTTCAGCTTTTCTGGACCTTGTGTTAAAAATTCAGCTTAACTGTTTCGAGGAACTTTCAGAGAAGGTGTCCAGATGCTAGGGAGGATCTCTTGATGTAGGAAACTGGAACTGCAGCACTTTCCCATACCCTGGATTATATCTCATTACCTCCCATTTCCCAGATGCTGTATGACTAGAGATTTCCTTTGAATATAATAGTGAAATAACTTGCAGGACAGCAGTAGTGTGAATGATGGTGAAAATGTTTCTTTTTTCAGGTGATCCTGCCTCGGTGGGAGATGACCAGTGTTAAAAAATTTAATGCACATGACCTTGCAATGATAACACTCAGAATTAGGTATAAGAGAATACCAGACAAAGTAGGGAAGTGATTTTAGGTTTTTTATCAACCACCTGAAGAGCGAGAGTAAACATGAGAATACATCCTGAGTACTGCTTGGTAAAATGATCAGTTCTACTTGGCACTGTCCTGAGACACACTTCTCTCTCACTCTCTCTCTCTCTCTCTCTCTCTCTCTCTCTATCATCATCATCATCATCATCATCATCATCATCATCATCAATCATCAATCATCATCATCATCATCATCATCATCATCATCATCATCATCATCATCATCATCATCATCATCATCATCATCATCATCATCATCATCATCATCATCGATATTAAGGATGGGTGAGAATGTTGTTGTAGGTAGTAAGTTGTTAGACAGCAACCACCCAGGGAAGTACTACCGTCCTACCAAGTGAGTAAAACGTAAGCCTGTAATTGTTTTACATGATGATAGGATTGCTGTTGTCTTTTTTCTGTCTCGTAAACATAAAAGTTTTCGGGGTATGTCTTCCTTTTCTTTTTTTACATTTTTGGTTTACACTTCACTTGAAAGACAAGATAAATATACACCCCCCGGGATTTTTTTTTATTTTTTTTCCCTAGCTTTTTGTTCTTTTTTTTTTCCTTTCCCCAGGGGAAAATTTGGAACAGAATTCTTCCCGAAAGGGCCATGCGTGGGGAAAAAGGGGGGATTTTAACTTTGCTGGGAGCAGGGGCTAGAACCCGTTCTCCTGTTTTATTAAAAAGTTAAAAACAGGGGCTTTCATTTTTGGGGGGGGCCCACACTCCCCTCGGTGGGTTTACAGCCGGTTTGTTGAAAAAAAAAAAAGGGGGAATTGTTGGGGTTTTTGGGGAAAGTGCCCAAAATTTTTATGAAAAATGGTGACTGTTTTTCCTTCTTTAGGTAAAACATTATTTGTAGGAAAAAACCGTATGTTATAGTAAAAAAAAAAGTTTTATTAAACTGATTAATTATAAAAATTTATCCTGGGGGATGGGAAGTACGTCCCTCCCTCTGAAGGGGGGGTTTTAATGTTGCATTTTAAAAAACTGTAGTGTAAAACACCCTTTGGCAAGACAGTGTTTGGGAGTGAATAAATGGTGAAATTTTTTCTTTTTCGGGCCACCCTGCCCTTTGGTTTGGGGAAAATTGGGGCCAGTGTGATAATAAATAATAAAAATACTTATTAGCCCTGCATTGTTCATTTCAGGAGAACCAGACGCTTAATTTAAACAGCTTCTTGCGGTAAAAGGAAAGAAGAAAATGCAAGACAAGAAAACCCAAGGTTGTCGGAGCCCGCCCCCCCGGGACGAGAAAGGGGCGGTTTTGGCCCGCTGTCGAATAAGGGGAGAAGTGCTTGCCCAAATTTCAGGGACAAACCCCTTTTGGGTTTAGCACTCTAGTTTTATTTTTAATAATATTACAAGTACTAAAGTTGTATACAAATTATTAAAAATTTGTAAAATTTTTTTAAAATTTTTTTGGATGGAATTTGCTTTGATTCATTCTTTTAAAATTATGAAGGGGTTTTGGGGAGACCTATTTGCTGAAAAATATGAGTTCTGGAGGTGGGAAAAAGGGGGAAATACCGGGACTCTGAAGGGTGGGGTGGGGGTTGGAGGGTGAATTCGCATTTTAAAATAACCCTTTTGGGAATGTGGGGTCTGTAATTTGAATAACTAGTTTAAAAATATTAAAATTTTTTATCCCGGATTTTTTTTTATTTTAAAAACTGGGTGTAATTTTTTAAATAAAAAAAAAGTTTCTTGTATGTATAAACTCCTTTTTGGGAAAGGAGTCTTTATGCAAGCAAGTGGCTTTGATCCAAGGGAAAAAAGGGCCCATGTTACCCTTTTTTGGATCAGGCTTTTCATTTATTTTCAAGGTTTTTTAAAATTTCCCTACAAAGAAAAGTAGCTTCTTTTTTACAATAAAGGGAAATAAATAAATAGTTAAAGGAAGCAATAACAACCAACTTTAAAGGGAAATGATTGGCCCATTTTACTCCCTGAGGAAAGGGGGCAAAGAAAACCCTTCCTCAGTAAAATGTGTGGGGAACCTATTTTTGGTTTGGGGGGGGTCGAGTCCTAGCTCCCGGCCCCGCCCCTTCCGGTTTCCCCTAGG